TAATACCATCGATAATCCTCCTCGATAATGACGTTTCCATAACTTGTGAATACTAACATGTCTGTTAGCTCTTTGTTATCATATTTCAAAGTCGTCTCTATGAACACACAGTGCTGACGTGAGCCAGATCCTTCAAGACCACACAGTGCAATAGCACAGAGAAATCAAACTATGTCAGTCGTATCATGCTTATAGCGCTCTTAAAACGGTTCCCTCATCGAAGTTTACAATTTTGTTTAGTTTCCCAAATAAATAAGCGGTCTTCAAAAAGGAAACGCACAGGTAGTATGTAGTTCATTGAACCCGACTTCACAAAAAATCCGGTATATAAATTGAATCAAGTTATTGGGACTTTTTGGTGGCCTGATATTCAACAAACGGTGCGTCAAAACGCTGCTATTGTCGATTTGTAACGTCTTAAACGGCATTGTTTTCACACTTGTTCAAAAAGGTAATGAAGGAAAACAGTAAAGCAAAATACACGTGCAAGTTATGGCTATAAAAAAGCAAGCATAAGTCAATAATTTGCCATTCAATTGTCAACATTTTTCAAGTTTGAAAATGCCGAGATTCAGCGCTGCCGATCGGAACATCGCCATAGGACGTATCCAACGAGGGTAATCGCAGTCTTCTGTTGCACGCCACTTCAAGGTCCACAACAGCACCATTTGCCGCCCTTGGGACCGCTACACACAGTTCAATTCCACTGCAGACCGCCCGACAACCGGCCGACCAAGAGTTACCACCCCCGCACAGGATCGCTACATTAGACTGCTCCACCTACGTCATCGCAGTGCCACAGCTACGGAGACTGCAGGACGCATACCTGGTTTAAGGTTGATATCGGACCAGATTGTCAGGAACCATCTTCGCGAAGCTGGAAGACCCAGAAGACCAGTTATCGTCCCTGTTTTGCAACAGATCCATCGACAGCGACGCTTGTGTTGGTACCATACCTTTGGAATTGAGAAACTGGAGACGATTGTGGTTTAGCGATGAATCACGATTTCTTCTTCACCGGCGAGAATGAAGACAACAGGTTTATCGTCGTCGAAATGAGCGTTTTGCCCAACATTGTGAACGTGAATTCGACAATTTCGGTGGCGGCAGTGTCATGGTGTGGGGGGCCATATCCTACGCCACGAGAGCTGACTTGGTTGTGGTTCAGGGAAATGTGACAGCAAATCGCTTCATGAATCAAATTCTTCAACCTCACCTTCTTCCAATCATTGACCGCCAGTGGGGTCTGTTTCAACAGGACAACGCTCCACCGCACACAGCTGGTGTCACGGTAGACTACCCTCATAATGCCAACATCAACACCATACCCTGATCTCCAGATCTCAACCCAATCGAACACCTCAGGGATGAGCTCGTTCGAAGTGTACGTCAAAGTCAGAACACGCCGCAGACACAGCTAGCCAACGCGTTACAAGCAGAATGACGTAGAATTCCGCAGGACAGAGTGAGTGTGTGAGTGAGTATGACTTTACGCCGCTTTTAGCAATATTCCAGCAATATCACGGCGGGGGACACCAGAAACGGGCTTCACCCGAAGGACAGAATTCGTGCACTTATCTACTCAGTGCCGAGAAGATGCTGAGCCGTGATTGCTGACCGGGGCGGTCATACGAGATACTGAGTTTAGCGCCACCTTGTGGAAGTATGTGACATGACTATGAACAGTATTCAATGCATTTGTACAACGACAACATGTGACTATCGAGCTCCAAAATTTCATATTTGTATCTATTAAATCTAATTAAATATATCGACTTTTTTAGGTGCAATAAATTTACTAAAATTCTACCTGTGCGTTTCTTTTTTTGAAGAGTGTAGTACCAGGGATATCACGGTATGCATGCGGGAAGTCATGTGGCTCTATGGTTATATTTTACATATTTAGTACAATACACACTTTTCTCTCATTATTAGGTCATGGTCAGAGCATAATTCATTAATTACCCTCGGTGGTTGTAAATAGGATACAGAATTCGTTCCCATTTCGTTTCAAGCAAAGTCCCTAAAACAATAGTTCTTCCATGTCCCTCGATAAAGCTGGGGAAAGGTTTCAAATATTCCACTCGGGACATACTGGAAACTTGATATAAATAGGGAAGTTTCACATCTTCATCCTTCAGTTCTTATTGAGTGGGTGAGGGATGTCGTGTTAGTCAGACTTAAGCTATCTACATAACGTTGACTTCATTCATTAGTACATGTATATAAGCCTTTTGCAGTTTGTCACGAAAAATAAACTATACAAAAAATTGAAGAATTACTTAAATCAGCAATCGTGCATCACACAAACCAGTGGCAGACAGCGTGAGCTACAATGTGACACTATTCAGTGTCCGCAGGAAATGAAGTGGATGACCAACATGTACTTGGCATATCATTATATTTAAAGACCATGTTTACGTGTAGTCCTGCTATACAGGTACATGGTGAATTCCTACAGGGCAGTTCTTCAAATGCCGCATTCCATCTCTGGACACCTGGACAATGGATAGTTAGAGATTAAATAGTTTGTTTACAGAAGCAAACTTACACAGCCCCATTAACTTGACCAGGCTATGTCAACATTGACTACTGTCCATATGGCGCCAAATGAGAACGATGAATTGCAAAATAATATAATCAAGTTTCTGGCCCGTTTGGGGGAACTTGATTATACCTTAATAAGAAGAGGAGGAACGATTACAATCAAGCAGTTTACTGTCACTTGTGTTGTTTACAACACAGAATACAATAGATGCAACAGCAATACATATAGAATTATAATAATGATAATGCATGAAACATATAGAATAATGATCGAACGATTAAAAATGTAAATAATTGAGGGAGAAAGCTGGAAAGGGGGATAGAGCTAACCACACTTTCATTTCTAGAGGACCCGTGAAGATTCCGGGCCAGATAGGTCTTCAGCAACCCATGCTTGCCGTAAAAGGCGACTAACGGGATCGAGTGGTCAGCCTCGCCGACTCGGTTGGTGCATGTCATCGATCCCAATTGCGTGTATCGATGCTCATGATATTGATCACTGGATTGTCTGATCCAGACTCGATTATTTACAGACTGCCGTCATATAGCTGGAATATTGCTGAGTGCGGCGTTAAACAACAAACGAAACCAAAAACGATATAAGTGAACATATATGACATCGACAGTTTTTTCAACACATTTATTGTAATCTTTTATTAATTTTATTGGCAAATATTTCACACTAGCTGCTATTGTGGTGACACTGGTGCTGGATTACTAGTAGTCTTGGGCCTGGTTTTAATTGATTAGATTAAATCGGAAGAATTGAAAAAAATCTTTATTTCTGTATAAATAACCACCAAAGACATAAATAGATTTTAATTGTCCCCCCCCCCCCCCCCCCCCCCCCCCTTTCAAATAAGCTGCATCCGCCCATGCAGAGTATGTATGTATGACACAACACATAATGAATATATCTTATTCCTGTTTACATTTCCCAGAAAAACAACGGCATTAAACCTTTCTCACTTGCTCGGGTAATTTTCTCACTCGCTCGGGTAAATATTCGTCAAATAAACAATATGGCTTTAAACAAGCAAAGGGAAGCAACTCGGCCGATATAGGTCAGGAAAGCGAAGCAAACTGATCGAGTCGCTTCACAGTGAGTGGAAGATTTTTTGTATTTATTCATATATGACACGTCACGGAATCACTAAGCACAGATCAAACAATCGCTATTTAGTTTTAATTCGATGATAGACGTGTCTGGTCTTAAAAGGTTCTAATTTAAAACAGTTTTATCTGCTGATTGTAGTGCAATGGTAACCTCGTCATAGTCAGGTGATGTCTCCAAATGCGCCTCCAAACACTGCTCTACACACGCGGTCTAATAATCTAAGATCATGTATATGTGGCTGGAATAACAGTAAGGCGATTCTGCTTGACATCAGCTGGCATTGGCAGATCATTAGAAAGAGGAGGCCAGTGCACAGAATAAACGAGATTGCTCGCAAAGAGGGGTAACTCTAATTTGTTTACATCCAGATTCACACTGTATACAGCTTTATTTAGATGGCGATATGTGGGCTAATGTTGCAAACACATTCAGGTCTTCATGGGAATACATATCTCAAATTACTGCCGAGTCATCAGTAAATGACACAGCTTGCGATCTGATCGGCAGCTTGCTGTGCAGTGACGAACGGGGTCAGACTAAAACGGCACGGCGTAAAAAAAAGTAGTAAAACTGGTTTGAGAACCGGTGTAGGTTGCTCAACTCAATCCCCGGCTGAAGTCACTTTGGTAGTCTGTCTTACAGACCCTGATTCAAATATATATCAAATATAGCCCATTCAAGTCTATAATGTTTGGCTGCATTAGGATAATGAAGAGAGTCTCTGGGCTCCCTTTTATTATATTTTCATTAAGATAATTGAACAACTGTTGTTGTTTTTTCTGTACGATATCTTCACTAGATGTTAGTCTATCACTTTTGTAACTTAGGCCTAGGCTAAGATCACCCTACAGTGTTTTGAGCATAGGCGAAGATCACTCCCCACGCCTTAGAGCACTCCACCTTTGTGGGCCCAAATCACTCCCCCTATACTATTACAGAGAGTGAGTATGGTTTTACGGCGCTTTAAGCAATATTCCAGCAATATCACGGCGGGGGACACCAGAAATAGGCTTCACACATTGTACCCATGTCGGGATTGGACCCCGGGTCTTCGGCGTGAGGACCGAACGCTTTAACCAGCGCCCCCTATACTATTACAAATGTCCATGGTTGATTGTATTAACCGGTGTTTTAACTATTTCATTAAAATATTATATAACTTGAGTAGCCTTAGGCGTATTTTGCTGTGCTATCATGCTATGTATGAAATACCTTTATTTCTGAGAGCCGCCCTGTACATTGTCAGGACTTTGATGATCCGTTTCACTATATATTTATTTCTCCACTCTTTTACAACGTGACAAAAAAAAACGAATCGTCTTCTGATATCTTTCAGTAATCAGTCGGCGTTATCGGCGGTTTACGACACTGTCATGTCGACGAAGGCGCTGGGGAACTTTGTACAGTGTCCTGTCTGTAGGACCAGGTAGGACAATTTGACGTACCTGTGATAACGTTCAAAGCGGCAGCATAACTCATCCATTTCTTCGGTTCGCCCTGATTATGTTTCTAGGTTTGTCAGCTCCATACCTGAGTTCGTGGGTTTCACCAAAATGGTAAATGTCCGAGTTCTGCATCACCTCGGGCTTTTTCCCCATATCAACCTGACACGCCGTGATATAACTTGACAAAATACTGTAACAGTTCGTAAAACCCCAAATCAACCACTCACTCGTTCCTTCCTTAATGTTGTTTTTCATTAATGTTGTTGTCAAGTTAATGTTGTTATCCAGTTAGTGTTGTTATTCAGTTCATGTTATTAAGTTAATGTTGCTATTCCGTTCATGATGTTATTCAGTTGGTGTTGTTATCGAGTTAGTGTTGTTATTCAGTTAATGCTGTTATCCAGTTAGTGTTATTCTGTTTGTGATGTTATCTGGTTAGTGTTGTTATTAAGTTAGTGTTATTTAGCTAATGTTGTTATCCAGTTTGGGTAGATATTCAGTTGGTGTTACAAAGTTAATTAAGTTATCAGGTTAGTGCTGTTATTTAGCTGGTGCTGTTATTCAGTTTGTGTTGTTATTTGGTTTGTGCTGTTATTTAGTGTTGTTATTAAGCTAGTGTTGTTATCCAGTGAAAAGTGTTATTCGGTTAGTGTTGATATTGAGTTAGTGTTATTTATCTAATTTTGTTATCCTGTTTGTGTTGATATCCAGTTGGTGTTGTTACTCAGTTAGTGTTTTTACTATGTTTATTGTGTTATCCAGTTATTGTTGATATTAAGCTAGTGTTGATATCCAGTGAATGTTGTTATTCGGTTAATGTTGATATTTAGTTAGTGTAATTTAGCTAATTTTGTTATCAAGTTAGGGTTGTTATCCAGTTAGTGTTATCCAGTTAGGCTTGTTTTTTCAGTTTGAGTTGTTATCTAGTGTTGTTATCCAGTTAGTGTTGTTACTCAGTTAGTGTTGTTACAAAGTTAATGGTGTTATCCAGTTAGCTGATGCTGTTATCCAGTTAGTGTTGTTGTTTGGTTTGTGCTGTTATTTAGTGTTGTTATCAAGTTAGTGTTGTTATTCAGCTAATGTTGTTATTACTTAATATTGTTATCCAGTTATTGTTGGTATTAAGCTAGTATTATTATCCAGTGAATAGTGTTATTCGGTTAGTGTTGATATTTAGTTAGTGTTATTTAGCTAACTTGGTTATCCTGTTTGGGTAGTTATCCAGTTTGTGCTGTTATTTAGTGTTGATATCCAGTTGGTGTTGTTACTCAGTGTTGTTCCAATGTTACTTGTGTTATCTAGTTAGTGCTGTTATTTAGCTGATGTTGTTAACCAGTTTAGTGTTGTTATTCGGCTAATGTTGTTCTTACTTAATATTGTTATCCAGTTATTGTTTTTATTAAACTAGTGTTGTTATCCAGTGAATAGTGTTATTTGGTTAGTGTTTATATTTCGTTAGTGTTATTTGGCTGATATTGTTATCCAGTTAGGGTTGTTATTCAGTTAATGTTGTTATTTAGTGTTGTTATCCAGTTAGTGTTGTTATTCGGCTAATGTTGTTCTTACTTAATATTGTTATCCAGTTATTGTTTTTATTAAACTAGTGTTGTTATCCAGTGAATAGTGTTATTTGGTTAGTGTTTATATTTCGTTAGTGTTATTTGGCTGATATTGTTATCCAGTTAGGGTTGTTATTCAGTTAATGTTGTTATTTAGTGTTGTTATCCAGTTGGTGTTGTTACCGCTTTAATGTTGTTATTACTTTATTCTGTAATCCAGTTATTGTTGTTATTAAACTAGTGTTGTTATCCAGTGAATAGTGTTATTTGGTTAGTGTTTATATTTCGTTAGTGTTATTTGGCTGATATTGTTATCCAGTTAGGGTTGTTATTCAGTTAATGTTGTTATTTAGTGTTGTTATCCAGTTAGTGTTGTTACCGCTTTAATGTTGTTATTACTTTATTCTGTTATCCAGTTATTGTTGTTATTAAGCTAGTGTTGTTATCCAGTGAATATTATTCGGTTGGTGTTGTTATTGATTTAGTTTTTTTAGCTATTGTTGTTATCCAGTTAGTGTTGTTATTTAGTTTATGTTGTCACTCGGTTAATCAGATACTGTCCACAATAGACAGTGCTACTGCAAATATGTAATAACACTCTATCCCTTTATAATTGGGCATTATACATGTCAATTGTCTATCTTTGAAGAATACAATGTTGCAGTCACATCCCCACGAAAGGGATACTTCAAAATGGCGTCTATGCTTCTACCTGTGAAAACTGTGGCCACTTCTTCAAGTTCAAGGCCACAGGTCCTCTCAAGTCCTCGGTTACATTCACCATCAATGCAACTTCGTACACAGGTACATTTGAGGGAATTGGTATACTAGTACTTGTCAATAAATTGTAAGTGGTGTAGCAGCAGATAAGTTGCCGTCTCATGTAGATGCTTCAACCCAAACATGTTCTACAATACGGTCCTTCATAACCTCGTTGTGATTGCGGGTTAGAACATATGCTTGTCGTAGGAGGCGACTAAGTGTATCGGGTGGTCAGACTCAATGACTTGGTTGATTGCGAGTCTTCATACCCAGATGCTTGGGACGGTGTTCATGATATAAGTTACATGTGTATGGTCGGGAATATTCACAGCCTGCCGTCATAGAACTAGAATATTGTAGAATATTGGAATATTAGTGGCGCTAAACAACAAAGAAACAATATATGTGACCCACAAGAAGAAAAGGGACATCATGGGTGCTACGATACAATTGTGGTATGACGTCATAAAGACGTTTGACGTCATCTTACGTCAGTGAAGATCGATATGTGTGATGTCATGTATCACTGTAATAAATCTGAAGTGAAGCTTGTGAATTGTATTTTTGTGTTCCAAACATGCTGTAGTTTTAAAATATAATGAAAAGTCAAAATGTGATTTTTCACCATTAGGCCCCTTATCTCATGCTTGGTCACATATTTCTTTTAGTATTGAAACATTGGCAGCATGTATGGGTAGCTGGTTGTCTGTGAGATACACATTGTTTACCTGTAAATTGCTGACCGATACTTTAACTCACCAATAAGGCGACTATGCTTGCCGTTAGAGGCGACTAACGGGATCGGGTGGTAGGGCTCGCTGACTTGGTTGATGCATGTCATCGTATCCCAGTTGCGTGGATAGATGCTCAAGAAGCCAATCACTGGATTGTCTGATCCAGACTCGATTATTTACAGCCCGGCGTCATATAGCTGGAATATTGCTGAGTGCAGCGTTAAACAACAAACAAACAACGAAACGGGTAAATAGCAGCATGTATGAGTAGCTGGTTGTCTGCCAGATACACATTATTACACATTAGAATTTTCAAATTGCATACCGGTACATTAACTCACCAATTAAATGTACATGTCGTTTCAGCACTCGTTTGAAAAAAAATAAACATCTCTTTCCTAGCTTTTCTGTCGTTTCTGTGATCACTTCTGAAATTGCTGGCCTTTTGCTAAAAGCGGCTAAAATCCGACTCACTCATTCACTTAATTTGTTTCTTACTCAGTTGGCAACCAGTATGCTGCAGCTCTGTCCCTGAATGAGTTCATGAGGTCCCAGGGCGTGTCCTATGGCACCAAGGTGATGTGTATGGAGGGAGGGTGTGGCGTGTGCCTCGTCACTACCACACTGTATGATCCCATCACAAAGTCCGTGCAGACCTACACAGTCAACTCGGTAATATAAGAGCCTGGCAGTAAACTATCTATTTTTGGTTCGATTCTGATTGTATCATTTACAACTTGGTGGGGACTCGGGGTTAGTGTTGGTCCACAGCAACCTCTGCTGGTTGTAAGAGGCGACTAGAAGGATAAGGCGTGTCATCGTATCCCAATGGCCTGGATCGATTTTACAGGCAGCCGTCATATAGGTGGGTTATTACTGAGTGCGGCGTCGATCAACAAAGTAACAAGCAAATGCAACATTCGCTTCCACGGTACATATACTAGTACTGAGCACAAGTCAGCGATCATGAATATTTTTTTGATATTTTTTTTGTAATTAAGACTAAGCGCAAAACTTCATAAAAATACCCCCCAAATATTCATCATCTCGAATTTTGATGTTCAGTATAGTACGATCAGAAATAAGGTTACTCAAGATAAGAAGAACTACAGATACCTATGATGTATGGTAACAATATTGCTGTTACGTGCAGCTATTGGATCAGAGAGACAGTAAGACTGTTTTAATTTTCTACGTTCTGGTTTTAACAGTGCCTCGTTCCTCTCTACACGTGTGACGGCATGCAAGTGACAACCGTCGAGGGTCTGGGCAACCCCAGGGACGGCCTACACCCGATACAAGACCGTCTGGCACAGTACAATGGCTCTCAGTGTGGCTTCTGTAGCCCCGCCCAGGTTATGAACATGTATGGGTAAGGTCTTCAACAAATGGATTATTTGTGTTGTGTTTGTTTGTTGTTTAACGCCGCACTCAACAATATTCGAGCTATATGACGGCGGGCTGTAAATAATCGAGTCTGGACCAGACAATCCAGTGGTTGACATCACGAGCATCGATCCACGCGATTGGGATACGATGACATGCTTCAACCACGTCAGCGAGCCTGACCACCCGATCAGTTTAATCATCTCTTACGCCAAGCATAGTCGCGTTTTACACCAAGCATTGGTTCATGAAGACCTATTTTGACACGGATCGTCACGGATCAGATATATAATGAAGGTAATGACTATGTATGGTACGATCACCCGGATGTACCTTAAAGGCATCGACTAAATTCATTTGCCCACGATCAAGTACGTATATAAAAAGGTTTGTTTATGAAAGCTGGAATCCATCAAAGAAGTCCAATGTTTGTCTGTTTATCTTAAGGAACTGTTCATGTCATCAGACAAAAGATAAATAAATGTGTTCCAGGCTGCTCAAGAAAACACCGAACCCGACCATGCAACAAGTGGAAAATGCCTTTGATGTCTCCATCTGCAGATGTACAGGTCTGTGTGTCCATTTTGTGAAATATTTTAATTAATTTAAAACACTGAATCTTTCAAACATGGGGACTTTGCTTGGTCAACAATTCTCAGTATGACATAAGTCTGGAATATCAGACCCAGACAGTGATACAATTTACAGACGGAAACAGCAGGTGACGCAATACAGCTTTTCCAATCGTTTTGTTTAGCGTGTGTCATATATTGTTGCGTTAGCGTGTCATACACAAATGTAGCTTCTCCACTTTATCAAGGACAGCTTGTAGTACCTATTGTAGAAACATTAGAGAGCCCCTGCTATATATGTGACAGCAATTTTGGGAGGTAGTGGATGTTCTTTCCATGTTTTAACTACGGCATACCTTGCTATAAAATGAAATATATGTACTGGGCTCGCCATTTCGACGTCAAGTACAGTAACACAAGTCTTTCGACTCTAACTTACACTTTCAAAATGTCGTCATGTCTCTGTACGTATCAACTGCTTGGCAACCGAAAGTATACAGCCATGTTTGATTGTGGCTAAACATTGGGCAACTAAGAAATGGTTATTTCATTGTGATGTATTTGGTATCGGTGTCATCGTTGTTTTGGATCTTACTTTTCCACGATTTCAGCCTAGTACTGTTTTAATAATGTTTGTAATGTTTTGGTCTCGGCCAGGATCAAGGGTGTTTAGTGACGAGTTTGTGAAGTGTAGTTAGTAACATTGTATTTGTAAATGTCTATGCATTCCAAACATTGCATGGATCTCCCGAATTGTACACTCGTAAAATGTAACGTAAAATGTGTAAAATGAGGAGAAGATCCGTGAAGATCCGGGGTAGAATAGGTCTTCGGCAATCCATGCATGCCGTAAAAGGCGACTATGCTTGTCGTAAGAGGCGACTTACGGGATCGGATGGTCATGATTGCTGACTTGGTTGGTGCATGTCATTATATCCAAATTGCGTTGATCGATGCTCATGATGTCAATCACTGGATGGTCTGGTCAAGACTCGATTATTTACAGATCGCCGTCACATAGCTAGAACATTGCTGAATGCGGCGTTAAACAAAAAAAAAAAGATGGACGTATATAACATGTGTTTTAACACATGTTTGGTAACATTTTGAACATTTGAATGTAACGTGTGCGCCTGTCTGTTCAACAGGCTATAGACCAATACTGGACGCCATGAAGTCATTCGCCTCTGATGCCGCACCTAACCTTATCGGCGGGACCATTGATATTGAAGTAATATCGCAGAATTAATATTTACTTCGGATGTTTTTTTTCTTCACGTCAATGCAACAAACCAATGATTCGATCAAGGGACAATGAAAGCAATGCACGATTTTAAACGTGTATCAGCCCAGTGCGCTTTTTGTGAAAAACAGTCTTTCTAATTACCGGCTTAGGTAGGATATATAGTTCCATCCTGTTAACAAACGCTTCCAGTATCAATACATGCATAAAAGAACAACAACGAACAACAGATAAACACGGGTTTCTTTTTTTAAGGTGGGTGAGGTGAAATGGGGTTTAACGTCGCGTCCGATTTTATTGCATTTACATAGCGACGTGCTTTCTTAAGGAACTGGACAAGAAGATATGCAGCAAATCCGGGAAGACCTGCACAGGACGCTGTTCATCTGATAGACAGACTGACACGGAGCACGTCCCCCTCCACATTGTGCTGCAGGGGTCACAGTGGTACAAACCGACCAACAGACAGCAGCTGTACGCCCTCCTCGGCCAACACAAGGGAGACAACTACAGACTCGTGTTTGGAAATTCAGGATATGGTAACAGAATGATCGTTTTCATTGGTCATCACACGCATTAAGACTTTAATAATTCCTACCAAAGCATGTAACATGTATTGGTATTTATGGCACTGATAACGAAGTCTCTGAATTGGGTTATAGTGTAATAAGCACATAATGTAAGTCTTAAATCGTTTACGGTTTTGTCATACCGTCAGATTATGTCAGGTGCAGGGATGACTCATTCGTCTAAGGCGCTGCAATCCACTATGCAGAGTTACGTCCCGTGGGTACGAAAGGATCCTATGGTCGTGGGTTCGAATCCCGGTTCACCCCGATTATGTTTCTAGCTTTGTCAGCATCATACCCGTGCTCGTAGGTTTCATCAAAGTGGTACACGCATTTCTCCCACATGAAGCTGACTTTCCGTGATATATAACTGTAATACTGATCAAAGCTGTTTTAGACCAACAACTCATTCACTGAGATTATTTCGAACCAGCCGCAACGAACAACAATCTGATGAATCAATTACAGTTTAACATCCAGTTTGTTTATCCATGATACACACGCCTGACTTACTTTTTCTATGAATGTTACTTGCAGGTGTGTATAAAGAGATCGGCCCATGGATGTTTGATGTCCTCATTGACCTGCGTGGCATCCAAGAGTTCTATGACATATCAGTAGGTTGATAAATGTTGTTTATCAGGACGAAACTTTGTTATAACTGATGAATAATGTAGTACCCTGCCGACATGAAAAACCGAGCCGTGAAGATCCGGGTTAGAATGGGGCTTCAGCAACCCATCTATGTCCTAAGAGGCGACTAACGGGATCGGATGGTCAGGCTGGCTGACTTGGATGATGCATATCATTGATCCCGATTGCGTGGATCGATGCTCATGTTGTCAATCACTTGACTATGTGGTACAGACTCGATTATTTACAGACCGCCGTCATATAGCTGGAATATTGCTGAGTGCGGCGTTAAAAAACAAACAAACAATCAAACACGAAAAACCTCCTGTGTACATGAAAGATCACAAGCAACCTCATGCTCCAGTGTTTCTTATGCCACAGATTGACTCCTCCAAAGTGATGTTTGGTCCTAGCATCACCCTGACCAACATGATGGAGGTATTTCTGAAAAACAGCACCAACCCTGATCTGTCCTACTTCCGGGATTTCGCCAACCACGTGGCCGTCATTGCTAACACCGGAGTCAGGAATGTAATTAAAACTTATGATCGTGTAGTCATGGTCAATCTAATTCTTCTATGTGGCGTTGATCGGGAGATCAGACTCGGCGTCTTGGTTGATTACATGCCATCGTACGTTGCTGTCATATCGATCACTGGTCTGTCTAGCCCTCCTTGAGTATTTATGGCATAAAGAAATATTCATCCCATCCACACTTGCTTGTCACAGGCAGCCGTGATAAAGGTTGAGTATTACTGCCGACGGCAATACAACAACACAACTTCTCTGTGGTCATTCTCATTAGACACCCCACTATGACTAAATTGGAAGTTTAATGCAATTCGGGGGCACGGATGGCCCAGTCGCTGTGCAGAGTTGCGGCCCCTAGCGACGCCAGAAACCTTTGATTGTGGGTTCGAATCCCTGTTCGCCCAGATTATGTTTCTAGGTTTGTCAGCACCATACCCGTGCTCGTGGGTTTCACCGAAGTGGTAAACGTCTGAGACCTGCATCACTTCGGGCTTTCCTCCCACATTAAGCTGACACGCCGCGATATGACTGGAATACTGTTAAAAGCGGCGTTAAACCCAACTCACTCACTCACTATAATGCAATTCATGTATATGCAATTCACATCACCTCGACTGCACTGATAACGACCCGGTAAGATTCGGGGTGGAATAGGTCTTCAGCAACCCATGCTTGCCGTAACAGGCGACTATGCTTGTCGTAAGAGGCGACTAACGGGATCGGATGGTCAGGCTGGCTGACTTGGTTGATGCATGTGTTCGTAACTCAATTGCGTAGATCAATGCTCATGTTGTCAATCACTTGAGTGTGTGGTCCAGACTCGATTATTTACAGCCCGCCGTCATATAGCTGGAATATCGCTGAGTGCGGCGTTAAACACCACACAAACAAATAAACACTGATCACCTCTGAAGACCACGTTCTGGTCGGATTCAGGGTGAGAATAGTTGCCCAAGACGAGCTAATTATATGGGGATTCGGCTGTCAAACGTTGTGATTTTGTTGATTTTGTGCCATTTTAGCCCGACGGACGTTTCTCGTGGTACCAACAGTCGCAGTTGGATAGGATAATGCTCAATATTAGACATATTATACAACAAACAAAGCCCTTAAACCATAAACCATAAACTCGTTCATATGTTTGTGAATACACTGTTGTGAACTGGGGCGGTGGGGTAGCCCAGTGGTTAATGAGTGTCTTTCAAGACAATGTGTGAAGCCCATTTCTGTGTCCCCCGCGTGATATTGCTGGAATATTGCTGAAAGCGGCGTAAAACCATACTCACTTACACAGTTGTTCTGCCTCTGTTAACGGTGATATATTACTGGTGAATTATGCAATGTTGGATATGAGATGATAAGGGGTCGTTTGTTCCAGTTGGGCAGCTGGGCAGGTAACCTGATGCTGAAGAACCTGCACACAGAGTTCCCGTCTGATGTCTTCGCCATGTTCGAGACGGTCGGGGCAACCCTGACTATTGGTGAGATATAGTTACCAAGTTAAATATCCCAATGGTGATGTTCCAGACAGAGAAATGTCTGATTCACAAACCTTTTCGAGGATGGTGTAATGTGTTCGATATAAATGAGACATAATCATCATCATAAACAAATACTGATTATGTATATGTCGCTTTTGATATAGAAAGTACACACTGGAAGTATAGTTTAATTTGGTTAATTGTTCAACAATCTCTCAATGTGCTTGTTTTATTTAAATACAAAACGTCAATGCCAGAGAACAACCAGTCTCGATTATCAGCCGAGACGGATGCCACTGGACGTACAAGGCAGAATAGCTTTGACAATTATATGAATGGATCAGGGAAAATCAGTGATGACACCAGGTGTTCACGAAAAGGCTGTTGACCTGTTCAAAATCGTGTCTGTATAATGGGCAATAGTTAGTGTCTTTAATGTTTTGATGTTGCAAACAATGCATTATTTTGAATTTTAACCGAGCATCATTGATCGCTTCCGTCACGTCTCACACGATATTTACTTTGTGATAGACCTCTTCCTCTAAGACAGAATGTAGATCCGATAATAGTGGTCTTGTGGAAGAAATAACGAAGGGATGAAAGATCTTATGAGGACATGGAACTCCTCATAAGTTGAAGCAGGATCACGAGGAGTACATGGGGTTTTATGCTTACTTACTAAATATTGGAGATTTAACTTGCGCTTTCTGATATTATGCGTATTTCGCACAAGGAGGGTTTTCTGCGTCCCGGGTTAGGATTTTATACCACGAGCCAGAGCCACTAGGGAAGCGGATTAAACCGACATCTTACCGACATGTTTGAATATGTAAAAGAATTTAAACAAATTCAAAATTGATAAAAAAAAAAAAACTGTTCGATTGAGCTGAGGTTAGCTTGCGCTATGTCACATAACGCCTTTTTGCTTTGAAGCGGGGTATAAGGGATTTATTTTGTCTCTCAGACATCCACGAAAGCCTGATTTATTCGTGGCGGGGTATAAGAGATTTATTCCTCCGCTGAAAAATCTATTCCCATACAAGGCGTGTTACACAGTATTTTATCACAATTATGTTGACCAATCAGATCTCATCTGACATGGAGGCACGATAACGAGATTCGTACCACTCCATCGTCACTGATCTAGATGCAATTATGACATAAAGTCATAAGTAATGAAAAGATATTCCATTGTTGAAATTGTTGAAGAAGGTCGAGTTACAGTTCATTAACTCTCTTTTAAATGTTCCTTGAAGGATCGAGTGATGGTTCGGAGAAATCAGTCAGCCTCATGGAGTTCCTGAACCTAGACATGAAGGGGAAGGTCATCCTGTCCGTCATGCTTCCGACGTTCCCATCCGGAGACGTGCATGTTAAGACCTTCAAGGTTGCCCCCAGACATCAGGTACATGATACTGATACGTTCATATACACATGAGCATTAATTAAGCACCACCCACATTTTCGGATTTGCGCTACATAACGAAAATGACTAATGATTCATTGATTGAAGACCCGTGAAGATCCGAGATAGCATAGGTCTTCAGCAACCCATGCTTATAAAAGCGACATTTCTTGTCGTAAGAGGTGGTCAGGCTTGCTGACTAAGTTGATGCATGACATCGATCCCAATTGCCTGGATCGATGCTCATGACATCAATCACTGGATTGTCTGGTCAAGACTCGATTATTTATAGATCATATAGCTCACATAAACCATGAAATACATTGGTACCAATTTAATTGCGTTGTGCAAATAAGTCTCTAAAAAAAATCCAACATTAAATAGTATCAGCACCCAGCCCACGCCACGAATCGGACTGTTACGTTATGCAGTGAAAAACGACTATCGTCAACCAAGGATTCACCACTGGCTCTGCTATCAGTATCTGGAGTATTCAATTGCCATACCTGATGCAGCGCCTGGTCAGTTTATTCAAGCCTTGAACTGAATGGTCTCTAGCTCTCACGTAGTGTTCAACTGGGTTCAGATCGTAGTTTTGTAATTATTATTCGGAAATGGTTTCGGAATCAGGTAGTGCTTAATTAATGCTAATGTGTATAGATGGCCGTGGTAATTTTCTCGAGTTAACTCCCTTGGTCGTAGAGGTGTTCACATATATCAACCCTGACAAAAAAGTCCCGAAACAACAAATTTGGACAGATTGAAGCAAGTCGAGGTGCACGAAAGGTCAGATGAGGGGATCAGCTGAAGTTTGGAGGGCGAGAATCGGGTATTTTGTGCATCTCACAGGCGTGATAGATTCAACCCTACAACCCCACGAGTGAGTGGACGCCGGGTATGGAGACAGGGTACAGGCTACTTCTGTGCAGTGCTGTGCTGTGCTACTGTTTGTGATGATAGCTGGATCTAGTACAGCAACTTGGATCCCACATCTGTGTCCATCATTAATTCCGCCACCAACGCTGTTTCCATCAAGTGAGATCTGTGACTTTTATTATCGAAACAATTACATGTCGAAAACAGGACACTCCAATCCTGACTCCGATTCGCCCGCTTTTACCCACGTTGTTACAAAGATCCGGCGACATTGAACTAAACCCTGGACCCTCTTGTAGTGAACTAGGCGACCTCAACAGCACATAGTTAATCAAATCAAGGAATCTGAGGACGGGTTTTCTAAGTTCAATTAAAGGGGAAGTGTACACGCAAAAATCACTTTCTTTCTTTTTCTAAACAAAACGCAATTTTAGAATTAGTTAGTGTCTGTGTTTGAAAATATACGCTCATTTTTTTTCACAGTGAAAGTAGGAAGCTCACAATAGTGTTAAAATGATATGTCGTTATGAGGCCTTCGTTTTACGAGCGAAATAGGCCTGAGTTATCCCCCTTAGATTATGAAGTAATTGGTGCCAATTCAACTGGGTCCCTGTCTATTCTCAACGCAAAAGATATCAAGGACCAGTTTGCGGTAAAACAACATGGTCTACGACACACTCCGGCGCAGTGGTGACTCAGCATAACACAATTCTGGCTGGCATCTGAGAAGCTAGAATCACAAAACTGTACCTACACCACGTGAAGCGGCTCTAACAAAGCATGATGACGTCATAATGTTTATCAATTGGCACCAATGACGTCATATTGCAAGGGGCATAAGCCATGGTGTTTTTGTTATGGAAATAGAACACTTGGTAAATGTGAAAAATATAAATCGTTTTAATGCAAAAAATATGTTAATTAAATATGATGTTTTTATATTTTTGTCTATGACACTTCTATGTTAACACTTTTAATGTGGAAAAAGTACAAGAAAAATTGGTTCATTTCCGTGTGAACTTGCCCTTTAAGGATGTAATCAGATCCATGAAAAGTGATATCTGTGACGTCAAGAACAGCACGACATACTCAGGATAGATGTTGATTCACTATTTGAGAAAAGCGAGCTCATGGAAAGTTATTTTATGATTTATAATCCATGATCGAAAATCAATAACTCAGAAACAGGAGAAATAACTAAAGGTAATATTATATGGAGTGCTTGATTCAAAAAATGAATCATTCATCTATGGCGTGTAAGGAGACAGTTTAGTGTCTGAGAGGTAGAGAACAAATGCCACCCCCACCCAAACACACAGACAGGATTTACTAAAATGCAGAACAGACGAACCAGATACACGTCTCTACTACAATGGAAGGAAACTAGTGAGAGAAACCAGAGAGGGGAGAGATGCTAGAAAAGATGAAGCTGCACAGATAAGCATATCTGGAGGCACAGCGAGAGAGGAATGACCACAGGATGGACGGGGGCGAGGGATGGGATACACACTCGAGGTCACAGAAGCCAGCAGTAGGGAGACAGAGATAAGGGTGTGGTCAGGGCCTATACAGTGATCTTACTGCTCTTCAAGGGAACCCATCAAGCGAGAGAAGCGACAGTAATAATAGCTTCATTAACTTTCTCTTCTGGAATGTCTCCGGCATCAAATATAAGTTAACAGATCGCCAACTATGTGAACACATAATTGATGTCACAGAAACATCGTTGGATAATGTAGAGGATGTGAAGGTCACTTTCACAGACGTTATTCTTTATAGTTAAGATGGAGATAGACTGTCTAAGACAGTGGGATAATAGTACTTGTTAAGAAGCAACTGCATCAATATACTAAATGGTGTAAAATAACGGAAAAATGTATACATAGATATTTTGACAATTCCTTGCTCGGCCTTCAATCTGACATTTTATATGCATGTGAATATATCTATCCTGGGGGATCTTGCTGTTATACCATTTTATCTGTTGATTGTAAAATGGCATTACAGTTTGTTGAACATTTTATCAGAATAAGGAGTTGCTATTGTTATTTGTGGTGGAGACGATAACGCCAGAACAGGAACAAAGTCTGATTTTTAAGATGGCTTTATGGAATATATCGAAGGGCTTGAGCAAGGTAACTCAAACTGGAATTTACTATGCGATTATTTTAGTTTCTCAAGTGATAAAAATGTAAATAACTTTGGTAAATGTTTGTAAGAGATATGCTCGTTATGCAACATTCATGTCATGAACGGAAGATCAGGAACTGACCGTGAAATTGGGGATATACATTCATTGGGCAAAATGGGGCAAACGTAATAGATTATATCATTGCATCTGCGGCTGTGTTGGAGCTTGCCAATGACTTTTCTATCCAATCATGTGCAAAGTCAACTCTCATCCTCTCACCCACTCATCCTGAAGCTAAAAGCTTTGAAGCCCGTGAAAGTGTAAATAACACTGGTCAGATTCAGATTTAAATGGGACTTTCAAAAAGTAGAACTATTTAGAGAAAACATGCTGTCCGATCATATACAAGAATTTCTTAATAAATCTGTTGATAAGATTTTTAATGGCATTGATAGAAGTATAGAGTGTATTACAGATGCATTATGTGTCGCGGCAAATGACATGAAGAAGTAAATTCAATAATGAATGGTTTGATACTGAATGTGAACAGTTGAAACGTAAATGATGTGGAGCATTGAATATGTTTAGAAAATATAAGGATAGTCGCTCATTGAACGATTATGATTACAACAACATAATTAACAAATATAATGCTGTATGCAGGCATAAAAGGAAAATGAATATTTTGAACACAAAAAGCAATATATTGAGGATAACATTAAGAACTCAAAGAATTTCTTCTCTGTGATTAAAAGTTTGAATTGTAAAAATTATATATAAAATAATATTAAGATTGTTGACTTTTTTGCACACTTTAAAGAAACATCAACTATGACGGACGATTTGCCGAGTATTTTACAAGATGATTGTACAAATGCTGATTTCACTAAAAACAGAGGATATTTTATAAACGCCTATAACAAAAGACGAAATATTAAACAGCATCCATCATCTTAAATGTAACAAATCTCCAGGAATAGACGAGACAATTTCTGAATTATTTATAGTGACCAACTTGTCCCATTAATGTAATGTTTGATAAGGGATACTTCCCGGAAACATGGCCTATTGGCATTTTCATTCCGCTTCATAAAGCAGGTGCTTCTAATGATGTCAACAACTACAGAGGGATAACTCTGTTGTGTATCTTCAGTAAAATATTTTCTTTTATTATTAACAAGTGACCATGGATAGAATTTCTGAATCGCAGGCTGGATTTAGGGAAGTATATTCAACAGCTGATAATGTCTTTATATTGCAATCTCTGATACAGTGCTAAATCAGCTAGAAAGGGGAAGTATTATGCATTATTTGTTGACATCTCTGAAGCATTTAATTCCAAACAGAGTTGTAAATGATGGAGATTGTTTACTGCACGAGGACATAGTTCCAAAATCTTAAAATTATTAAGCAGTAGATATGAACATGTTAGTACGAGATAAGGGTTTGATGTCTAATATGTTTCAATGCAAATTTGGCATGCGCCAAGGATGTGTATTGAGTCCGTATTTATTTTCCTTTTTCATAAATGAATAAGTCTCGGAAATACATAACAATTGTACAAACGGTATTCAATTACATCCAGATGTTGTCATGTTTTCAAGCACTGCTGATGACTTGCAAAAGCAAAATGATGTCTAAGAAAATAACTGTGATGAATGAAAACTCACTGTTAATAGAGTCAAAACTAAAATTATTGTTTTCAAAAAGAGTTGCAAACTTGCCAAAAAATGCTTTAAAGATGGAACTTTGAAGGTGATTCCACACTATAAATATTTGGGTGTTTATTTCAGTAACAATCTAAATTGATCTATTTATATAAGAGAAGCATCAGTCCAGGCCAAAAAGATTATATTTGGTATACTGGAGAATATACAAATCCTTGGTGACATAAGTTACAAGATCTTTAATGTTAAAATTAACCCAATTTTATTTTACGGTGCTGAATTATCGGGGTTTATATTTTTTAATGATATCGAACAAGGTTCATTTATATGCTTGTAAATGATTTCTTGGTGTAAAACCCATCACATCTAGCGCAATGGAGAATTGGTAGATTTCCTCTATTTATATATTCACAGCTGAAAGCCTAAAAGTACTGTCTGAAACCCCTTAAAATGAATTCACTCAGATATCCTAACAAATGTTACAATATGATGATGTTTTACGATACGAATGGAAATAATAACTGGGTAACTGATATGAAAAAAAATGTTGTGCAATAGTTGTTTTGGAATTTTTTAGAATGAACAATCTGTACAATCTGAAAGTGTATTTATCAGTTCTTTTCTACAGAGGCTGAAAGATATTTATCTGCAATCGTGTTCATTTTTGTTGACATTATCGAAATTCTGTTTAGATTATAGAAAGTTGAAACATCTATGCGCTGAACAGTATTTATTTTATGTAAAAGTAAAGAAATACCATAATTCATTGGCAAGATTTTGATGTTCAACCCATGATTTATTCTTCGAGAGTGGAAGATATATAAAATCTCGAAGGTCAGAACGATTATGTAAAATGTGTAATATCCCTTTTACTTGTATGTCAATTGTACTCCACTGTGAAAAAAATATATTCCTGTGTACTTCTTAAATGATCCAAATATTGTTAAATACCGGCAATTGCTCAACAGCCTAGATGAATTACTAATACAAAACTCAGCCAAGTATATATTCCACGCACTGTTATATGGAACCAAATTTGTAAATAATAGTTAAAATTGTGTGCAACACCTCTGTCATATGTACTATAGGCCTGTGGCCTCTTAAGTGCTTGAATAAAGTTTGAACAGTAATGTGAATTTACCCGTGTTCATTAGAATAGAAAAGTTTTCTATGTTACCTTGAGATGGGTCGCCGCTGGTTCTGTGACTTATCTTTGAAAAGCATTGTGTAGTACAATAAGAATACTGAGAACTGGGGGTGAAAATATGATTGGTAGTTAGTGGAGCTTGACAAGTTTGTTGGGTGTGCAGTGTTGTCATCATTCACCACACACTTCAGAATGCCCACGCCTATGTGACAGCAGGCTTCAGGATGCAGCTGGACAAGAACGTCAACTTCAGAGTCAAGACAAAACCATCCCTGGTGTACGGCGGCATCAACAAGACACTGGTAAGTCAGGAATATCACGAGCAGACAATAATCACATTTCTAATTTACCCTGTTCTTGATATGACACTCGGTGGCACAGGAAGCTTTGATGTCTGAGGTTCCGCATTCCGCAGTGCAGCTTAGTTCCAGCGCCAGATTCGACCAAATTATGTTTCTTGATTTGTCAGCACCATATTCCTACGAGTGGTAAACATCGAAGACCTGCATCACTTCGGGTTTTCTTTCCACGTAAAGCTGACACTCCGTGATATAACTTCACAGCTCACTTTGACCAAACCGGCAACAAACTAAAGTGACACTGGACTGAATTCAAGAAGCGTATGGGATTGTTTTCCTTGCATGTTAGGTCATGATCAATAGCTACACCTCTCGTTACTGACAGGAACACGGAATGCCATCTTTTAACATGTCATTAACAAGACAGCTTAACATAGTGATTAAAAAAGAAGTATCGCACGTTTAGAGGCCGCCATGGTAAAGCTCGATGAATTGTGCTCACGAACAAATATATATGTTCTATACAATTCCAATATTTTCTCTGCACAATTTTCTCCTTTGTGTGGTCTCTTATTTTGTAACGATAGGCTTGCTTGTTTTTTTTGTCTAGGTTCACGCCAGCAACACAGAGACGTTCCTACAGGGCAAGGAGTTGGGGGATTCTACAGTACTCAAAGGTAGGCGACAGGAGTTCCTAGTCAGCCTAGATGCTGAATGACCATGCTTTCTCAACATACAAGTTAAGTGAATATATATGAATGAACTGTCTCCAGATGCACTTATGGTATCACGCACACACATGACCATTGTGATAGGATCTTTCCTGCGACCCATGTGATTTTCAGTGATCCATTCATTTAATTTTCACCATCATTTTCCCTTTTACGCCCAATTGAATCAGTTTCGGAAGGATATCGAGACTGATTATTCTCTGGCGTTGACGTTTTATATTCAACTAGAAGCCAATCAATGACTAAGAATATATGTTTGTCTTTACGTTTACGTTTTAGGTCAATGTACACAAAGCGTGACAGTTCTTTTACTGAGTTGGCAGGCATTGGTTATATAGTTTTTAATAGTGTGGACAGATTGGCAACATTTTGATAAAGTAAGACGAGTTCTATGGATCAACAACTTCTTTATTACAATTAGTGCAACGTTCTAGTTAGGATCTACACCGAAACGTCGCACTAATTGTAATAAAGAAGTTGTTCATCCATAGAACTCGTCTTACTTCATCACACCATCTTCTAAATGCAACTGAAAGAAGTTAAAAACATTAGATAAGTGATTTCTTCAGGTCTATAAGCATTACATATACAAAATGAGAGACCAGACATTTGTCGTTGTTAAAATCATAGAATTCATATGGAAAGGCAGATAATGAAGTAGCCTCCTTGTTCTGCCTGTATCGCCAGAGAGTCAATGAGTAAGCTGCAACAGAGTTGTTATATTTATAACACACATCACAACAACAATTTTATTCATCAATTTTATGCACTCTTGTCACTCAAGCGGAGTGTTTATCCAATGTGTTCATATATTTAAGACATGATTGACAGATGCTATAGCCACTCTTACGGCCGAACTGGTTCCCGACACCACCCCTGGCCTGTCCAGTACAACCTACAGGAAGACACTGGCCGTCTCCCTCTTCTACAAGGTCAGGCAGCGTCTGTTTCTACCTCAACGAAACAGAAGTAGTCTTTTGCAATCAGAATGATCTGTTTACATGTATGTGCTTATCTGAAAAGAGGAACATGTGCTTTAAATGTTTAAAAGAATTATGTATAAATGAAAAAGCAGCTAAAACTCATTTGGGACACTATTTGACCTATTGTATAAGGCACATGTAATGTAACGTAATGTAGGCAATGCATTATCGAGGCATTGTGTTTCATAAAATTAATCGGTTTCTATTTAAATGTTCTTTGTTATTTTTTGCAATGTTATACATTATGCTGTCTGAAAGGAACACACGATAGTCCGACTTCTTAAATTCATTTCAGTATGTGCTCGGCGTGTGTGGTGAGAAAGCAGCGAAAAGATTCCAGAGTGGTGGCACCAACTTGATACGGCCAGTTTCATCCGGCACTCAGACATATGACAGTCGTAAAGATGAATACCCTTTGACTAAACCTATGACCAAGGTGGACGCGACCCTACAGGTACATATGTTAGTCAATCTCGTCATTTAAGCGTTACCGTCACTACTGGTATTGTCAAAGCCGGGATTCAGACTAAGAACAGGCCCCATGAAAGTGGGGTCAGCGGTCTTATGGTAGCATATCCGCCCAGGTTCGATCCCCGGCCGCGTTATACCAAAAGACGTTAAAAGATGGTACTTATTGTTACCCTGCCTGGCGCTCGACATTAAGGGGCTAAAACAAGGACCGGTCGGCTCGGAGTCAGTATACTAAGTGGGGTATTCATACTAAACTGATGCATGGTATCTCAGTGAGCTAGCACTATAAATCAGCATAAGTCCGGACTAGTACAAGCAGCCACACAAACACACACACTCGCATGCACGTCGCTATATAAGTGCAGTAACCTTGGACGCGACGTTAAACCCCATTTCACCTCACTTCATGTTCAATACCACGTGTCATCTCATGTGCTTTAAAAATAAACAGGTACAGGTCGGGAACTTTTACACTAGTTTGTACATTCAGAAAAGAATAGAATGTCTCAAGTAGAAGCTTCAAACCGAATATGAAACATCTTCTACAATACGCCTGTTAATAACCTCGTAGGGATTTAAGGTTAGATGATACCAGGTGTTCTCAAAAAAGCGAGCGTATACTACTTCACCGGTAAAACCCACAAACACATGCAAAGGCTAGTCAAGTGTTCACCTGAACAATATCGAAAACATAAGATACACGTCAAAATAGGAATTGCATCAGACATAATTTTGTCATTGTTGTGTCAATATGGAATTGTCCTCCAAATGTCTTGCATCAAACTCTTTGAAAGCTTTACTGGGGCCGCGAATGCTATTACTGTCAATGAAATGTTGAGCAAGAGTCAAAACAATGTGAGTTATGTCAGTTGCGTTCGCTTCCAAACTCGGCTTTGCTTACAGGACGCCGTGATGCAGGGCTACATTCCACAAAGAAATCTTAGCGCTACGACTATCGTAAGCCTATGTTAAAGTATGGGAGTTACGTTCACCTTAGGGCTATGACTATCGTAAGCCTACGTTAAAGTATGGGAGTTACGTTCACCTTAGGGCTATGACTATCGTAAGCCTACGTTAAAGTATGGGAGTTACGTTCACCTTAGGGCTATGACTATCGTAAGCCTATGTTAAAGTACGGGAGTTACGTTCACCTTAGGGCTACGACTTTCGTAAGCCTATGTTAAAGTATGGGAGTTACGTTCACCTTAGCGCTAAGATCGCTTTGTGGAATGGGTTCAGCTCTAACATAACTGACTACAGTGTTGAACAACACTCTCGGGAATGATTAAGATTAAGGACAACGTCAGGATAGCCTTTGTTACTTTGTTGATATTGACAATACTAAAATGAGGAACAACACACGTCATCAGTGTAACATATCCGTGATAAGCTGTCATTTGTTTTCAGACATCAGGTAGGGTCAAGTACGTCAACGACATACCACCGGTTCAAGAAGAAGTCTTCGCCGCTTTCGTCATCAGCAGCGTCGGAAACGCCGACATCGATACCGTGGACACGGCCTTAGCTCTGGTGACCTTCATGATTATTTACTTGAAAATATCAAGTGCTAATATTCACGTATTTGAACCGAAATTCACAAAATTAAATGACCGCCGATGTGATGTACAGATGCTGGTGTAACTGTCGTTACTGTTACTATTACTGTTCACCCCATCTAAGGGGACTTGGGATAGAATTATCGTTTGACACGCATCAGTGTTGCTGGATAATTGTATACATTCTATCGTCCACCAACTTTCAAACATGACATTTGTAGCCAGTCACTTCATGGAGTTCGAGGGCGGTGGGGTAGCCTAGTGGTTAAAGCGCTCGCTCGTCACGCCGAAGACCCGGGTTCGATTCCCGACATGGGTACAATGTTCGAAGCCCATTTCTGGTGTCCCCCGCCGTGATATTGCTGGAATATTGCTAAAAGCGGTTTAAAATCATACTCACTCTCTCATTGGGTTCGAACCACGGACCTTCAGAACCGGGTGAAGTCGGGCGCCTTGTCCACGTGACCAAAAAGGTTAACCCCGTCAAGCTGACAAGGCACGGATGTCATTTGTGGGATGCCCCCCGGCCCTGCTACACATGGGTATCTGTGGCCAAGCAGATATTTCCCTGCCCAGTTTAGAAAGAGAGGGATTACCTTGATCATACACTGATTGGAATGTTTCTTTGTTCCGACAGGCGTATCCTGGAGCCTTGAAGTACATATCTGCAGCTGATATACCCAAAGGAGGCAGAAACAGCTTCAGGGAACCTACAGTCGAAGTTGAGGAGGTAAACATCCCCACACCCCACATATAGGCGGCATCTTAGGTTTGACATCTCACTTGCTCTGCGTGAGCACCATTGCCTTGTCCCTCATAAACCCATGACTGGGAGCATCGACGAACAAATGCCGATCAGTATATGAACACCACAACAAGATGTCTTGTGACGGGTGCCATCGGTCGGACAGGATACTCTCACCTTTTAGCGAGTCAGCACTTTTTGATAGTGGTTCATAAACATATGCCCTTGATTACAATCGGCTCTGCTACTAGAACAGAGTATGACCATGGAAAGGTTTTTGTCGCTGTTTTAGGATTTTGTTTGACATCTCATTCTTTGTCTTTTGATAGTTGTTTTGCAGTGGGAAGGTCCTATACAGTGGACAGCCAATTGGCATCATCGTCGCAGGTAGGTGTGCCGTGGACAACGCATTCCATGTAACCTCTCATGTACGGATGATTATAAATACAGCCACGAGGAGTTTAATTTGTCGTATCAACTCTCTGATCTTCCTGCAGCGTTGCTGCAACATATCAGTGCTATTTGATTGACATTTGCAATGCGACAACATATATGCAACTGTCGTAGACAGTTGTGAATTAAGTCCTGCTAAGTATGGCTAAATATGACTGCCACCTGTATTAAAACTTCCACCTGTGAAGATCCGGCTTAGAACTGGTCTCCAGCAGCCCATGTGTATGGTAAGAGGCGACTCACGGGTGGCCAGGCTTGCTGGCTTGGTTGATGCATGTCATCGTATCCCAATTGCGTCGATCGATGCTCATGATGTCAATCACAGGATTGTTTGGTCCAGATTCGACTAGTTACAGACCGGCGTCATATAGCTGGTATTTTGCTGAATGCGGCGATCATCAACAAACAAATAATTAAGACATCCACAAGTGAATATTCTTTGAAGAGCTGTATTAATAATTTAAGTTTTTCTCTTTGAAGAAGACTAAAGTTTGATTTCTATAACAAATAAAAATGACCAGTAATAATATGGCAGACCAATAACCCGAACACTCTCATCATATGAGTATGTACATGTATGATGGAATGGTGTGTGTTGTCTTGTTCCAGTGGACAAACTATCAGCGGACACAGCAGCCAGCATGGTGAAGGTTACCTACAAGAACGTCCAGCCTCCCATCATTACAATGGAAGATGCCATTCAGAAGAAATCCATATTTCCAAATGCTGCCCAAGAGTTTAAAAAGGGCGATGCTGCAGGTAGACCATTGATAAAGGTGTTTTGCCCTGAGTCCTGTTTAGAGTGAGTGAGTGAGTTTGGTTTTACGCGGCTTTTAGAAATATTCCAGCAATATCACGGCGGGGGACACCAGAAATGGGCTTCACATATTGTACCCATGTCGGGATTCGAACCCGGGTTTTCGGCGTGACGAGCGAACGCTTTAACCACTAGGCTACCTGTCTGCCCCTCCGGTTTAGAATAAGTGCCAGTGCCTGAATGTGTGGCAATTCCTTCAATGTCGTGGTCTTTACTCAAACTATCGATTACTTGTTTTCCTGTTGACCTTAAGGCACTTACTGGACAGTTTGCCTGAGCATTACATGTAGTATTACCACGTACGGGTAAAATCCTTTCCCTCAGTGACGTCTTATTTTGCATTTCACATTCATCATTAATAATACTTCATGACATTGAGGGGGCACGGGTGGCCCAGTCGTCTAAGGCGCCGCGATTCACTGTGCAGAGTTGCGTCCCTTGGGCACGCCAGAAACCTATGATTGTGGGTTCGAATCCCGGTTCGCCCCGATTATGTTTCTAGGTTTTTCAGCACCATACCCGTGCTCGTGGGTTTCACCGAAGTAGTAAACGTCTGAGACCTGCATCACTTCGGGCTTTCCTCCCACATTAAGCTGACACGCCGTGATATAACTGGAATACTGTTAAAAGCGGCGTAAAACCCAACTCACTCACTCACTCATGACATTGTGCCTGTCCGCCGTCCGCAGAACTCCTTCACCGTTAAATATTTCTCGTTGAAACTTGCTATGCAGATCAGACTAGTGGTGCACTGGTGCCTTTTGATGTTCTTGGTGTAGAAAAAGTACTGAACAGCATTATTTTTGCTTGCCTGAACTGAATGTATCCAATGGCAATGAACCAAAAGTGGGGTGTAAGTAACTCCATTTTTAGATTGCAAAAGACTGGGGGCATATGTCATCTGTTGATGACTCTTGTTGATAATATTATTTGTCCACAGTTTATTTATTATATAAATTATATAAACTTCACTCTGAGGTGAGGTGAGGTGAAATTGGGTTTAACGTCGCGTCCAAGATTATTGCACTTATATAGCGACGTGCATGCACGTGTGTGTGTGTGGCTGCTTGTACTAGTCCGGACTGATGCTGATTTATAGTGCTAGCCCACTGAGATACCATGCCGCAGTTTAACATGAATACCCCACTCAGACACAGTATACTGACTCCGAGCCGACCAGTCCTTGTTTTAGCCACTTTATGCCGAGCGCCAGACAGGGTAACAACAAGTCCCATCTTTTAACGTCTTTTGGTATGACGCAGCTGGGGATCGAACCCCGGACCTTCCGCTCTCCGGGCGGACGCTCTACCACTAGACAACGGAGGCGGTCACCTCACTCTGAAATGCCATGTCACCTAACAATGCCTCATTTAGTTATTTACATGTCTGTTGAATTAGACCCAGTGACGACTCACGGGAATAGTATGTTCCATGTAGACACATGCTTGTCGTAAGTGCCGACTAAAGTGGATCGGGTGGTCAGTCCTTGGTGATGTGGCACTTGACGTGCCCTTGCATGTGTTTGTGACGGATGCCAGGTGGAACAGGATATGTTCGCCTTTTCGCGAAACTGTTTTATAGCGATTAAAAAAACAAGCTTATTATATAGTCGTAATCATACGAATGGACTCTTTTTTTCAACAGAGATTTCGCATGATTGTGGAAAGGTTTTCCGCTATTATTTATCTCGTGTAATCCAGCCTCGATCGTGGATCGTCCCTCATGCTTTCATTCGTTTGTCGGAATTGAGCAAATTCAAACCTCCATGTGATACCTCAGACTGCCGCGTAAAACAACATTCACCCACTCATTGAGTTTAACTAGATTAAAGATGGTATATTTATCACGATTTTGAATTACAATGATTGATTGAATGTTTCTTTTGTAGCTGCAATAGCTGGCTCAGACAAGCAGATCTCAGGTCGAATCAAAGTAGGGCATCAGTACCATTTCCAGATGGAAACTCAGGTGAGGTTGCGATGTTCTCAGCTTAGATGTTCAGATGTTTGCTTATACACTGAAGAACAAAAGTTCCTGTGACATTGAATACGATTTAATGCAAAGTTATGTTTTTTACCAAATCTGAAACAATTTCGGTTTGCAACAGATAAAAGACTCATGTAAGTGTTCAAATGGTTTCATTTGCCATACTGACTTCAGAAAATGCATGATTTCATTAAAAAAAACATGAATCTCGTTAACGCACGTTTTTTATACCCATTCTTTGCAAGTGAAATGCATGGGGCTTGCATAAAAGTCAACTTTTGCATGGAATGCATGCTTTTCTGTAGCAGTTGTGTTTTTGTGACTTGATTCCATACATGTACTACAATATTGAAAACCAAACTTTACTTGTTTGAAAAATACACTAAAATATTAATGTCAGGAACTTTTGTTGTTGAGTATATAATGTGGGCTCTTGTTGAATCAATAGAGAATTGTAAAGCATTGCCTGGCGAGCAAAGGGTGGGTGGTTCGATGCCCTGACCGCGTCATACCAAAAGACATTAAAAAATGTACTTGTTGTTACCCTGCCTGGTACTCGGCATTGATGGGATAACACAAGGACTGGTCTGCTCGGAGTCAGTATACTGTGTCTGAGTGAGGTATTCATGTTAAACTGCGGCATGGTATCTCAGTGGGCTAAAGTAAATTGTTGTGGTGAAATGGGCATTGACGAGGTCGTCAAGATTATTAGCGACGCTGTGGGAAATGAACGACATCTTACAGTCATCTTACTTTGGTTTTGGTTGGTTGGTTTGTTGTTTAACCCCGCATTCAGCAATGTTCCAGCTATATGACGGCGGTCTGTAAATAATCGAGTCTGGACCAGACATGCCAGACCAGACATGGATGACATGCATCAACCAAGTCAGCAAGCCGTACCACCCGATCCCGTTAGTCGCCTCTTACGACAAGCATAGTCACCTTTTACGGCAAGCATGGGTTGCTGAAGACCTATTCTACCCCGGAATCTTCACGGGTCAGTCATCTTACTGAATGTGAGGCATGAGGCATGTAAATGCATCAGGCATGATTGTTTGTTTATTTGTTTGTTGCTTAACGCTTGACTCAGAAATAGTGCAGCTAAATGACTGCGGTCTGTATATAATCAAGTCTGGACCAGGCAATCCAGTGATTGACATCATGCGCATCGATATAGGCAATGAGTCATGTAGTGAAGTGGGACGAGTGATTGGATGTGACCGTTAGTGGTTACCTTGCATCATCAAACATCTCGTGAAAGATCCCTAATACATGTACGAAGGTTGAAAAGTTACTATCTTTTACAGGTGAGCATCTGCTACCCCGCAGAGGATGGGGTGGGCGTGAGTCTTCTCTCGTCAACACAGTGGTCGGATATGGAACAGTTGATCGTTGCCAAACTCCTTAACATCCCTGAAAGCAGGTACTAGTGAGATTGTCGTCAAAAACTGCGTTGTCAGGTCACGCACAATTAGTCAAATAGAGAAAGGAAAAAGGTTAAAAACGATGGTTCATTTACTTCTCAATCACATAGTCAAGAATCGGCAAATGACGGTAGTGTATACGTGTATCCTATAATTGGTCGTATTTGGCGACTTATTGGATCGTGTGGTCAGGTTCTGTGACTCATTGGATCGGGTGGTCATGTTCGGTGAGGGGGCACGGGTGGCCCAGTCGTCTTAGGCGCCGCGATTCGCTGTGCAGAATTGCGTCCCCGTGGGCACGCCAGAAACCTATGATTGTGGGTTCGAATCCCGGTTCGCCCCGATTATATTTCTAGGTTCGTCAGCACCATACCCGTGCTCGTGGGTTTTATCGTCTAAGACCTGCATCATTCTGGGTTTTCCTTCCACAATAAGATGACACGCTGTGATATGACTTGAATACTGTTAAAAGCGGCGTTAAACACAACTCGCTCACACCAGTTGCGTAGATCGATGCTGATGATATCAATTTTTGGACTCGATTATTTACAGACCGCAATCGTACAGCTAGAATATAATAAATTAATATTAAATCGTCGATCGATAGATGTGACTAACATGATAGGGTGGTCGTGCTCGCTGACGTGGTTGATGTATGTCATTGTATTCCAATTGCGCGCGTGTGTGTGTGGAAGGGGGGGGTCATTCTGACGTAACCCGTAATGGGATGTCCTCAGATCTTTGTTTAGCGGCAGCGAGTACTTAGATCTGATTTTAATGAGATTGTCAACGTCTGAGACCGGCATCACTTCGGGCTTTCCTCCCACATTAGGCTGACACGCCGTGATATAACTGGAATAATGTTAAAAGCGGCGTTAAACCCTACTCACTCACTCGCTCAGGTTTGATGACTTAATGGATCGGGTGGTTAGGTTCGATGACTTGGTGGATCAGGTGGCTTAGTGGATTGGGTGGTCAGGATCTGTGACTTGGTGGATCAGGTGGTCAGGTTCGGTGACTTGGTGGATCAGGTGGTCAGGTTCGGTGACTTGGTAGATTAGGTTGTCAGGTTCGGTGACTTGGTATATCAGGTGGTCAGGTTCGGTGACTTGGTGGATCAGGTGGCTTAGTGTATCGGGTGGTCAGGCTCAGTGACTTGGTGGATCGGGTGGTCAGGATCTGTGACTTGGTGGATCGGCTGGTCAGGTTCGGTGACTTGGTGAATCGGCTGGTCAGGTTCGGTGACTTGGTGAATCAGGTGGCTTATTAGATCGGGTGGTCAGGGTCTGTGACTTGGTAGATCGGGTGGTCAGGATCTGTGACTTGGTGGAGCGGGTGGCTTAGTGGATCGGGTGGTCAGGATCTGTGACTTGGTGGATCGGGTGGTTAGGATCTGTGACTTGGTGGATCAGGTGTTCAGGCTCTGTGACTTGGTATATCAAGGGGTCAGGTTCAGTGACTTGGTGGATCGGGTGGTTAGGATCTGTGACTTGGTAGATCAAGGGGTCAGGTTCAGTGACTTGGTGGATCGGGTGGTCAGGTATGGTGACTTGGTGGTTCGGTGACTTGGTTGATCGGGTTGTCAGGTTCGGTGACTAAGTGGATCGGGTGGTCAGGTTCGATGACTTGGTGGTTCAGTGACTTGGTGTATCGGGTTGTCAATTTCGGTGACTTGGTGGATCGGGTGGTCAGGATCGGTGACTTAGTGGATCGGGTGGTCAGGTTCGTTGACTTGGTTAATTGCATGTCATTGTACCCTGATGCCTTGATACGTTGTTAATTATATTAATCACCGTTTTATCTGGTCGTCGACTGGGTGGATCGGGTGTTCAGGATCGGTGGCTTAGAAGAGCGGGTTGTCAGGTTCAGTGACTTCGTGGATCGGGTGGTCAGGTATGGTGACTTGGTGGTTCAGTGACTTGGCGGATCGGTTGGTCAGTATTAGTGACATAGTGGATCGGGTGGTCAGGTTCGGTGGCTTAGTGGATCGGTTGGTCAGTATCGGTGACATAGTGGATCGGGTGGTCAGTATCGGTGACTTGATGGATCGGGTGGTCAGATTCGGTGACTTGGTGGATGAGGTGGCTTGGTGGATGAGGTGGCTTAGTAGATCGGGTGGTCAGGATCTGTGACTTAGTAGATCGGTAGGTCAGGTTCAGTGGCTTAGAAGATCGGGTGGGCAGGTTCGGTGACTTGGTGGATCGGGTGGTCAGGATCGGTGACTTAGTGGATCGGGTGGTCAGGTTCGTTGACTTGGTTAATTGCATGTCATTGTACCCTGATGCCTTGATACGTTGTTAATTATATTAATCACCGTTTTATCTGGTCAAGATTCGATTGTATATGCTGTCGTCATATAATTGGAATATTGGTGTGTGGCGTTCAACAACAAACAGAAAGCATATATTATATTTTTTTGTTTCAGTGTTAACGTTACGGTCACCCGTCTGGGGGGATCATACGGATCCAAGATTACACGTGCCCACCAAACAGCATCAGCAGCTGCACTGGCCACACATATCATGAGGAGGTGGGTTAAACGTAGATCCTGGTTGAACATCGTGATAGCACTTCGTGATTGCACATCCTGAAGTAACAGGTCAAAATTTACCATAGGTTACTTTTACGCATGTAAGTTGACCTATGCTAATCCACTTTTGTTGAGTGAACCGTGAAGATTCCGGGGTAGAATAGGTCTTCAGCAACCCATGCTTGCCGTAAAAGGCAACTATGCTTGTCGTAAAAGGCGACTAACGGGATCGGGTGGTCAGGCTCGCTGACTTGGATGATGCATGTCAACGATCCCAATTGTTTGGATCGATGCTCATGAGATAAATCACTGGATTGTCTGGTCCAGAGTGCCGCGTTAAACAACAAACCAACCAACCAACCAACCAACCAACAAACAAACAAACCAACCACTTTTGTTGGGGATACATGTATCTTTCCATGAAACACAAAACTTGTTCATAAAATACCACTGAAAAACGTTAAGGACCATCCGATTCTTTCATATTACTGTTGTTGATCTGTCATGTTACTATAGTTAACTGTTTTTGAGTGGTATATGTCAAGTGTATATTTTGACGTAATAAGCGCCCAGGGCGCTCTCCAAATTTGAAATAGGGGGCTCTTATTAGAATATAATTTTTTGTTGAAAAAAAAACAAAGCTGAAAGATCGTAAATTTCGTGGTTTATGATGACAGCCTGAAATGATACAAAAGAAAAGTCTGTGCGTATTATACACGACATATATTTTCCAGAATTTAATTGCCCATAATTAAGGGTGCATATATCACACGAGTGCATATTATACACGAATAAACAAGTCATGTGTACATTGATCAATCGGAAGGGGTGCTAATTGCTAATTTCACAAGCCAATATATTAGCAAATATCGCCGTGGGCGCTAATTAGAGCGGGGCGCTTATTACGTCACATACGGTATCTGATTATCCCTTTCACTTATCGAGTAGTGTCTAATATGAATGAGTAGTAAATAATATCAATGACCAAGTAAGTAACTATTTTGAAAGGCTAAAACAAAGAGAACTATTGCAAAACGCTAAAGGCCTGTTGGTTTCATGACATCCCTTTGGGGAGCTTAAAGTCCAAATGGAATCAGCCATAAAAAGAGTGCAACACTGTTAGAAAACAAAATCTTTTTTATTTGTACAATGTCAATATAATGAGCAATGTTTGATTTCAATTCAGTTTGTAACCGAGAAGATGTTGTTAATTATCAAACGTACAAGATATTGTATTGTTTTTCGCAAATGTATGGTCGACGGTACTGTTTACGTATTCCAGGCCAGTTCGACTCAGTATGAACTTCCACACCAACATGAAGACAGTCGGGAAACGTTTCCCTTATCTTGCAGATTACAAAGTAAGATCTTTTATTCTAACTATATAAATTGCCATGCTCAGAACCGCAGGAATCATGTTTCAGAGATCATGTAAGGAAAGTAAGGTTATATCACTGCGTACGTCTTCATTCTATCAAACATTATCACATGCGATTATGTGGGTATGCATGCATATCCTAGTCTATCAGCCGCACATATGCATGCATATGTGTGACTGATAAACTGGGATTTGCATGTATGTGTGTTGCTGACAGACTGCGATATGCATGCTTATGTGTGACTGACAGACTGGGATATGCTGACAGAATGCGATATGCATGAATATGTAGCTGACAGACAACTTTACGAATGAATATGTGAGACTCACTAGCCGTGATATGCATGCATATGTGTGGCTGACAATCGACAGTGATATGCATGAATTGGTGTTGGTTACAGACCGTTATGTGCACGTACATTACTTGCGTGAAAAGATTGTATGTGTTGTTAATCGGTAGATCGGCGTCAACAATGACGGCAAGCTGAATGGAATCCAGATGACTGTTAACACTGACTGCGGTGCGTCCCCCAATGACAACATCTTAGCGGCAATTCCAGAATGGTTGGACAATGGTAACAGTGCATCCTGCTTCTCCACACACAATATATAACTATTTCAATATATGTGACCCACTATGAGATAAGGGGGGAAATCACAATTTGATCATATTTTAAAACTACAGGATCTTAGGAACACAGAAATACAATTCACGCGTTTCAATTCATATTTATTACAGAGATAAATGGAATCAAACATTTAGACTCATTTTCCGAAAATTTACATTTTCAGACTTAAAACAGTTTATGTAATTGCAGGTTACATACATAATATCAGATTAATTGACGTAATACATTATGAACTAATGGGAGAAAAATAACATATTTCTGTACAGTCCGCACACATGGTGATTTTTACGGAAGTAAGTTGACGTCAAACATCTTTCTTTTTATCGTAACAGCACAATTGTGTCCTAGCACCCATGAGTCCCTTTTCTCCTGGTGGGACAGATATAACTATTTCAAGTTAACTTCCGGTTGATCATAGTAATGTTCCCTTTTCAGCCTACTTCTGTCCTGCGTGGGACTTTAAACCTATAGCCCTGAAGACGAACCTTCCCGCCAACACCTATTGCCGGGCCCCAGGTAAGGCTCGCAACTACATATACAATGTCAATAACACAAAAAGACCACCTCCGGGGTTTAGTGGTCAGAGCGTCTTGCCGAAGAGCAGAAGGTCGGTCACGCTATACCAAAAGACCTTAAAAGATGGTACCTGTTGTGACCCTGCCTGGCGCTCAGCATTAAGGACTGGTCGGCTCGGAGTAGGGCGTCCATGTTTAAACAACACACACGCACGCACGCAAACGTTAAACACATCACCAAATAAAACCAAAAGCATTATAATGTATGTAAAGATACATTGGTTGTTCGCCTCTATTATATTATGTTTTATCGCCATTTTTAGAAGTTGGTAAGTAACGGTAACGACGAGATATCTTTATGGATGACAACTTCTTAATTCTATTACGATGCGACGTTTCTGCATGGATCCTTATACAGTTGTCACTCTTGATCTATACCGAAAAATCGCATCATAATAGAATAAGGAAGTCGTCATCAATAACGATTTTTGTCTTTATTATATTCGCATTGGTGCATTTCCATCTGGCTGACACAGAGGTATGACAAGAAACCGACGCGTTGCATACTTGCCATGGGTGCTAATATTATGTACCTTTGATTGTCAAGGGCGTTTAAAAAGAGAAGCAAAATTAAATATGTTGATGCGCCATTCAAGCGGGTAATAGTAACATGCCCATCTTTCTGGCAGGATCCTGCCCCGCCATCTTCATCATGGAAGCCATGATGGAACATGTGGCCAAGGTTTTCCACAAAGACCCGCTGGAATTCAGGAAGTTAAATTTGTTCGACAAAGGTCAGGTATGTAAAGGTCAAGCAGGTATACCCGAAATATCTCTCAGGCCACACATGTCCTATTTGTTGGCTCACGACTCATGTAAATGTGTAGCTATATGCCTGAGACTGGTTTACATTTTAACTAACTGACATGTGTATTCACCTCAAAGCTATTTATCGCAAACGCAATGCTAAACAGAAGACCATTATTCAATATTTATCATTGTCAGATATTGTGTCAGCAGTTTTGGTAATAAGGGGGAAACATGAAACGGATGTAGAAAATTCTTGAAAACAATACATAGGTACGGTTTCATTACACAGTTGTAGGCATGGTATCATGTCACAGTTGTAGGCATGGCCTCATTACACAGTTGTAGACATGGCCTCATGACACAGTTGTAGGCATGCCATCATTACACAGTTGTAGGCATGACCTCATGAAACAGTTGTAGGCATGGCCTCATGACACAGTTGTAGGCATGACCTCATGACACAGTTGTAGGCATGGCATCATGAAACAGTTGTAGGCATGGCCTCATGACACAGTTGTAGGCATGACCTCATGACACAGTTGTAGGCATGGCATCATGAAACAGTTGTAGCCATGTCCTCTTGACACAGTTGTAGGCATGGCATCATGACATAGTTGTAGGCATGGCATCATTACACAGTTGTAGGCATGGTCTCATGCCACAGTTGTAGGCATTGCATTATGGCACAGTTGTAGGCATTGCATTATGACACAGTTGTAGGCATGGCCTCATGACAAAGTTGTAGGCATGGCATCATGACACAGTTGTAGGCATGACTTCATTACATAGTTGTAGACATGGCCTCATGACACAGTTGTAGGCATGGTATCATGGCACAGTTGTAGGCCTTGTATTATGACACAGTTGTAGGCATGGCATCATGACACAGTTGTAGGCATGGCATCATGACACAGTTGTAGGCATGGTATCATGACACAGTTGTAGGCATGGTATTATGGCACAGTTGTAGGCATGGCATCATGACACAGTTATAGGCATGGTATCATCGCATAGTTGTAGGCATGACCTCATTCCACAGTTGTAGGCATGGCATCATGAAACAGTTGTAGCCATGTCCTCTTGACACAGTTGTAGGCATGGCATCATGACACAGTTGTAGGCATGGCACCATTACACAGTTGTAGGCATTGCGTTATCACACAGTTGTAGGCATGGCCTCATGACACAGTTGTAGGCATGGCATCATGACACAGTTGTAGGCATGACTTCATTACACAGTTGTAGACATGGCCTCATGACACAGTTGTAGGCATGGTATCATGACACATTTGTAGGCATGGTATTATGACACAGTTGTAGGCATGGTATCATGACACAGTTGTAGGCATGGTATCATGACACAATTGTAGGCATGGTATCATGACACAGTTGTAGGCATGGTATCATGACACAGTTGTAGGCATGGTATCATGACACAGTTGTAGGCATGGTATCATGACACAGTTGTAGTGATGGCCTCAAGACACTGTTGTAGACATGGCGTCATGACACAGTTGTAGGCATGGTATCATGACACAATTGTAGGCATGGTATCATGACACAATTGTAGGCATGGTATCATGACACAGTTGTAGGCATGGTATCATCACACAGTTGTAGTGATGGCCTCAAGACACTGTTGTAGACATGGCGTCATGACACAGTTATAGGCATGGTATCATCGCACAGTTGTAGGCATGGCATCATGACACAGTTGTAGGCATGGTGTTATGACACAGTTGTAGGCATGGCTTCATGACACAGTTGTAGGCATGGTATCATGACACAGTTGTAGGCATGGCATCATGACACAGTTGTAGGCATGGTATCATGACACAGTTGTAGGCATGGCATCATGACACAGTTGTAGGCATGGTATCATGACACAGTTGTAGGCATGGCATCATGACACAGTTGTAGGCATGGTATCATGACACAGTTGTAGGTATGGCATGGTATCATGACATAGTTGCAGGCATGCCCTCATTACACAGTTGTAGGCATGGTATCATGACACAGTTGTAGGCATGGGCTCATTACATAGTTGTAGACATGGTCTAATTCACAGTTGCAGGGATACCCTCATTACACAGTTGTAGATATGGCATTAGGACACAGTTGTAGGCATGGCCTGATTACACTGTTATAAACTTCGAACCGCAGATGCAGTCGGCTTTTGTCAGTGTATATTTTCTATTAATTCTTTTCAGTTATAAATTGCTCTTAAAAGTAATGTTTTTACTTTAGAGTATTGTGTATTAAAGTAAGCATATATAAAGATGATGCACATGTAAACAAAACCTGGTGTTTTATTATCACATTATCATGTTTCACACAATATACATTTTTTATAAATTCCAGAGGTTCTTGTTTCAAATAATGACGTCATCGGAAATGATGACACAAAATCTCACCAAGTCACTGAACTTGACCCGATCCATTTAGTCATCTACAACACATGTAGAATAAAATCTTAAAATGCGGACAATATATGAAGAACATACATTTATCCGATCTTTTAATAGATATAATGGCTGTAGAATGAAATCAGGTTGTTTAGCTTACCTTCTCAGGCGTCTGTCACTGGAATGGTTCTGAAGTACTGCAACATCAAGGACATGGTGGCTCAACTGGAGAAGTCAGCCGATGTCCAGACAAGGAAACAACAAGTTGCAGCTTTCAACCAGGTACAGGGGCTGATATACATGACAAGGAACTGTAGGGGTGATACGGTAGACACTGTTTGTTTTTTTAGGGGGCTGATACTTCCAAATAATAATGCCCTGGTTACTCATATGACGTCCCTATCGAAGACAACCCAAAGAAATGTACTGTGGATCAATGGGGGATTTAACGTATTTAACCAAATAAAAAAGTATATTAATCATTATGGGACTGAAGGTGAAGCACAGTTCTAGTGTTCCCTCGGTGATATTGCTGAAACATTGCTAAAAATATTAACGTATTTAACCAAATTAAAAAGTATATATCTCATTATGGGACTGAAGGTGAAGCACAGTTCTAGTGTCCCCGCGGTGATATTGCTGAAATATTGCTAAAAATATTAACTTATTTAACCAAATAAGTAAGTATTTTAATCATTACGGGACTGAAGGTGAAGCACAGTTTTAGTGTCCCCGCGGTGATATTGCTGAAATATTGCTAAAAATATTAACTTATTTAACCAAATAAGTAAGTATTTTAATCATTACGGGACTGAAGGTGAAGCACAGTTCTCGTGTTCCTGCGGTGATATTGCTGAAATATTGCTAAAAATATTAACTTATTTGACCAAATAAGTAATTTTTTAATCATTACGGGACTGAATGTGAAGCACAGTTCCCGTGTTCCCGCGGTGATATTGCTGAAATATTGCTAATAGCGACGTAAAAACCCTCATGAAACATATTGTGTTCACCCCGCAAAGTATGTTTTTGCCTATTGTATTGCAGGTATATTCCTATCTTGCCAAAGACCCGGGTTTGATTCTGCACATGGGTACAATGGGTGAAGCCCATTTCTGGTCTCCCCCGCCGTGATATTGCTGGAATAGTGCCAAAAGCGGTGTAAAGCTATACTCACTCACTCACTCATTGAAATATGTTTGTACATGCACTTGCCCTGAACATATTTCACATGTGTCTGAAAATTATCACCCAGGCCAACAGATGGAAGAAGAAGGGTATCTCTGTGATGCCTCTCCGATGGGACCAGGACTACGCAGGCAACAATCCCAACTACAACGTCTACATGACTGTCTACCACGGGGATGGTTCCGTCGCTATTTCGATCGGCGGTGTGGAGGTGGGCCAGGGAATCAACACCAAGGTAGGTGACATGTTGAAATACTCGTTTATCATCGTTATGTCGACAGTAATCTACGTTTATCCTTTCCATAATTGCCCTAGAAAAGCCCCATTGTCATACAACTACTTTTTCGTGTATACGTTTACAAATATACATACAGATTATATTATTTTTTAGCATAAAGATTTAATAAAGTTAAATCATTAAAGTAAAACCTTATCGTCTAGCACTGTTGGCGCACTAACGTCACATAATAAATTAAATATTAGATAACTAAGTGTCAATTTATTCATGTCCATTCAAATGACTTTGTAGAATATTCATTGCATATATTGTCCAATCAGAATGTAGTGCGTACGTACTTCTGTAAATGTATTCACTATGTATTAAACTGCATACTTGTGCTTATGTAAAAGCGGAGGGGACACGGCCAGAGTGGCGCTCGACCCACGGGACTCGGGACCCACGGCCCCGGACCCCCGTGGTCATTCTCTTGGTCGACGTCTACCTCTCTCCGTGTATTTAAGACATGATTTACAGAAGGACGTAACACTAATGTCTTGTATGCGAACCTCTATCGCCAGTTAGGAGGTGGCTGTTACTCACGTAATTATACTCATGTGTAACGATCCCCCAGTGCCAGTTCGATATTGACTTGAAGTAACAGTAACAATCACCATAGAAGTAACACTATCGCCGTGCTTGGTAGGAGATGGATTTTTTTGTTTCTGACACTGACGACACATATGGGCGTCATCACATTGGTTGTGTACAACCGTAAAGCCGTTATCTCATGGGTAAACAGATTCAGTACTGTAGGCATCAAGGCCCATAGTACAATGCAGATTGGATATTAACATTTATCACGTGATGTACATGATTAGATTTTTTAATCAAATTACATATTTCTCATTATAAAGACATGTTTTAAAAATACAGAAACAGAATGGATCATGTTGGGATTTTCAGATTTATCATTATCTGATGGTCGTTAAAAATACCTTGCAGCATGGGAGGAAATTAATACTTTCAATGGGAATACGTTTAACATGTAAGTAGGACATGGTATTCATGATCATCCTCTTATTCTCCGTATGAACAGTTTGTACAAATAGAGTTCATAATATCACCGTCTTTGGACCTGCGACATACATTCACATTAAAATTGTGAAAAGAAGGTTTCCAATAAGCTCTGATGAAACCTTTATCATTTAAACAAGTTAGATATCTTTCAGTTTGTAACAATGATTTTACTTTGCTGTAATTGCTAAGATAAAGTGGTACAGAAATACTTTGGTGCCACAGTTGACAAAATATATCCTTTTGTCTTTACTTAAATGAATATAAGAATAACTGTGGTAAAGGACGATCCTGATCACACGGACAATGTACAGTTAAACCCCGTCTTTAAATTGTAAAGACAAAGCTGAAATACCATGTCTTTAACAAAACGTTTCTCCCTCTCTAAATCTTTCAGTTATTGTGTAGGATGGGAATGAATATGATCTGACAATGTTACATAACAGATGATGCAAGTCTGTGCCTTTGAGCTGGGTATTCCTATGGACACGATCAAGGTAAAGCCAACGACAACCATGGCTGACTCCAACTCCTACATGACCGGAGGCAGCATCACCAGCGAAGTCAACGCACTGGTAATTTGCATGATGTAGCTCACATTCCCCCATTTTCTGATCAGGTGGCCTCTTCACAACATTTAAGATGCTACATGTATCTTCAAAATGACCATTGCGGATAATAAGCCTTGACCTACCGGAACCATATATCGATATCCGTGACTGTAGGTCTCCTGTAGTCGGTATAATGCTCCCCAGCCCAAGGAGGTGTCATGTTTACCCAAAGTTTTTCCTGAAGCCAAATAAAGACAATATTAGTGGAGATGTAAAACATTTAATGTTTTCAACAGAATGGAGTAACATCCACTGCGCATGCATCAAGTGCACATGGCAACATTTCTTATACACTTGTACAGTGAATTAACAGTGCTTTCATATACAATCTGTAATCATAAATCTTATATATATATATGATACATGAAACTTGGACCCTTAACTTAGACTTGACATTCACAAGCTTCTTCACTGTTATGACAAAGTAAGAATATCATGTATAGGCTTATAGTCTTGAACAGCTATCACTTGCCTAACATTCAAATATTGACCAGAGTTCTGACCCATTATGCAACTTCATAAACATTGACAAACTTTCATTAAACACATGAACATGAAGTGGAAATAACTTGAAATACAACCTTGAAACTATTGACAGAATTTGTATCCAACTTACCAGTACATACTGGAGATATGAATTTACACTCTCAAGTTGTCCTGGCAACACCCTTAAAACTAGATAAAGAAATACTGTACATTCTATCATTGACAATATTCCAAACAGTAATAACACTTGAAACTTGTAGCATATACTTGGACTCAGTCATCTGAAACATCACCCATTGATAAGATAACAAAGACATTCATTCTAAATTATCTCCCTTGAATTACTAGATCACCTTCATGGAAACATTCAGATGCTTATATCAAAGGCATACATTCATCAAATCTACTGACAATATAAACAACATATACATCACTTGAAATTAGTACATAAAACTTCACCATGTTTGCCAGTGAAAAGAATAATGAAGAAATTCAACTTTTGCATTATCTCCCTTGGATTACTAAATAATTGACGTGAAAATATTTAGCATAGAAAGAGATAAACAATTCTTAAAAACTCCTGATGAAATATTAATAAAGATATTGATGAATTATTGTTGAAAACAATGTTATAAACGAAGTTCCCAAATATTTAGAATATTGATAATATTTTAGTTAAAAATATATATATATATGATGAATTTAATATAGAATTTAATTTATACATTTGGAAAAAAGATGATGAAACATTTACAATGAATTTTATTCAAAATGAGACAAACAAGCCTTTAATAAAACAAAACTTATTTCAAAGAAACTATCACAGCAAACCTTGAAATATCTACACATACTTCTGATTAAACTGATAACTAATTGACAAAGCTATCTACATGATCTAGTAATACTTTGACAACCTACTCAAGGAAATCAACCTTTCAATACATCATACGTCATAACCACTTCTGAGTCCTGACACTATTGAACGATAACTTCAGACTGACACAATTCAATAACAATATTTATCTTGAGAGACAATCACAAGCATAAGGATATAATGGAAACTTACTTTATTTTGCAAACACATGACTTACTAAACACTTGTCTCAAGATACAACAAACTTTGAACGAAAACATTTTCACGCTACAGATGGTCGTCGCTATTTTACACACTTTTCGAGACAGTGTGTTTGCGTTAGTGTTTACTTCCGCTCATCACCCAAGGGAAATAACTCTCTCACACAAACAGGCAATACCGCTAAGAAATTTTACTTGACGAAAGGACATAAATTCTCATCAAATTAAACTTATTCCTATCTAAACTTATCTGAACTACAGAAATATTCATTTCCATACATTTCTACCATAAGCTAATGGACAACTTCAATATATCTATGCTATTTATGCAATAACAACTTTTCTGACCATGCCGTTCGAGCAGACGAAAAACTCCTATGCATTGGGCCGACAATAATCATGAAATACAAACTATTTAATAGTGTTAAATAACATGAAATTGCTAACAATTAAATGTTTATATGCTTATGAGATGGTAGGTGTGTATTTCGTGGATTGACAACTCACCTGAAGCCAAATAAAGACAATATTAGTGGATATGTAAAACATTTAATGTTTTCAACAGAATGGAGAAACATCAACTGCGCATGCGTCAAGCGCCCATGGCACCGAAGATGCTATTTACGTCCAAACCACTAATATATATGAATATGAAATGGACTTCTGGTGAATTACAATATTGATAAAATATGTGACAATTGTACTTCTTTACACTCCAAAGTTTTGAACCATTCTATTTTTCCGGCTTTACACTAAACTTGCTGTTTACACATTATTGCATATATATTAAAGAAACACGAATACCATACATGTTGGTTAATATATGAAGAACTACTCATGAATATTCAAGAGATATTAGATTGGTTCGATAAATAAACGAACATACCGGTATGTTGGGTAAATCGACGCTCATGAACACATCATGTGACGTCATAGATCCATGACTCGAGATGCCCCATTTGTCTCGTGCAGGACTAGCCTGTAAAGTTTGGAAATCACGTACAGCTTATCCGGATAAGAATAAAGAGTCTCTCTGGAAACACTTGACTGATTGTTAGTTTTGTCATTAAGTGGTACACATTTGAAACATTTCTTCTTTACGTACATACTTCTCAAAATGTTTCTATGGTTCGCGTTTCTTTTGGAGGTGTGTATATAACAGTCTGTCCAAACACCCTCACTCACTGACGCATTCCCTCACTTACTCCTCTTGAAGCTGTGGTTGGAGGCAGATACCTTAACTGAACTATAAAGTGACAAATTGAATCAACATCTTCCCTGAAAGTGTTCGCTCGTCACGCCAAAGGCCCTGGTTCGAATCTCGACATGGGTACATTTCTGGCGTGAAACTGCTGGAATATTGCTAAAGGCGACGTAAAACCATATTCCCTCTCTTAATTTCCTGAAAGACAGCCAATGGCTTAATGTGAATGAGAAAAGAACCAAATATTAAAAATATATGTAAGTGTTTCATATATGGTAATTCTAGAAAATATCTTATAATATTTCTTATACTTATCGCCAAATTGCCAGAGTGGTATGTTGCAGGTAATAAATTGTCATTCCAACTCTTGATATCGCAACACACACTGCTCGTTAAAAGCATATCAATGTTTCTTAAGGGAGTCGTGCAGTGTTGTCAACAGTTAAAGACTCGGATGGCCCCAGTCAAAGCCAAGATGGTCAACCCTACCTGGCTGCAGCTGGTCACTCAATGTTTCAATCAACGAATGGACCTATCAGCCAAAAGCTAGTAAGTTTTTAGTTTAATATCTACATGTTTGTCATGCTCTGAAAACAGTCAGAATGATGAGAGTGAGTGAGGATGGTTTTACGCCGCTTTTAGCAATATTCCAGCAATATCACGGCGGGTGACACCATAAATGGGCTTCACACATTTCAGAATGATGACTTGATGAGCCGCAGACGTGCTTGCAAGAAGGATGCCTGTCTCCCTTGACATTTGCCTCAGTGTTATGTGCATCAGATGAAGTTAAGATAAGTACTATAATAATTTAGTTTTTTTATTTGCATAACTAGCTTACATTTCAACCAACCTGATACGTTCTTGTCAATCAAGACCGCCTCCGTGGTCTAGTGGTAGAGTGTCCGCCCAGGAGAGCCAAAGGTCCGGGTTCGATCTGGCCGCGTCATACCCAAAGACGTTAAAAGATGGTACTTGTTGTTACCTTGTCGGGCGCTCGGCATCATAAGTATAAAGTCAGTATACTGTGTCTGAGTGTGGTATTGATGTTAAACTGCGACATAGTATCTCAGCAAACCAACTATTAAGTCGGCATTAGTCCGGACTAGAACAAGCAGCCACACACACGTTCATGCACATCGCTATGTAAATGCAGTAATCTTGGACACGACGTTAAACCCATTTTTACCTCACCTCACCTAAAAAACGTACAATCAAGAAATTGTTCTATTACATTGATGTAGAAAAAATCACAACAATACAAGGAAAGATGTCAAAATCATATTAGCATGTTTACCCATGGCTGAACCCTTTGATGGTAATGTCAAATCAATGTTTGATACCACAACTGGGTAGAACGTGTGAAGCCCATTTCTGGGTCCCGAGGCGATGTTTTCCTGGAATATTTCTAAAAGGGAGTAGAACTGTTTACCAACACACTGTAATGCTCTGGACTGTATAGGTACAAGAAACCCATAATGTCTGTTTCGATATTTTCAGTACCAATCCAACAGGAGAGTCCAGTAACTACAACATCTACGGCGCAACGTGCACAGAGGTCGAGGTGGACGTTCTGACAGGGGAGAACCAGATCAACCGAGTGGACATCCTGTATGACTGTGGAGAAAGGTGAGACTACTGAGAGGACATCCTGTATGACTGTGGAGAAAGGTGAGACTACAGAGTGGACATCCTGTATGACTGTGGAGAAAGGTGAGATTACAGAGTGGACATCCTGTATGACTGTGGAGAAAGGTGAGACTACAGAGCGGACATCATGTATGACTGTGGAGAAAGGTGAGACTACAGAGTGGACATCCTGTATGACTGGAGAGAAAGGTGAGACTACAGAGTGGACATCCTGTATGACTGTGGAGAAAGGTGAGACTACAGAGTGGACATCCTGTATGACTGTGGAGAAAGGTGAGACTACAGAGTGGACACCCTGTATGACTGGAGAGAAAGGTGAGACTACAGAGTGACCAGCTTATATGACTGTGGAGAAAGGTGAGACTACAGAGTGGACATCCTGTATGACTGGAGAGAAAGGTGAGACTACAGAGTGCCCAGCCTATATGACTGTGGAGAAAGGTGAGACTACAGAGTGGACATCCTGTATGACTGGAGAGAAAGGTGAGACTACAGAGTGCCCAGCCTATATGACTGTGGAGAAAGGTGAGACTACAGAGTGGCCATCCTGTATGACTGTGGAGAAAGGTGAGACAACAGGGTGGACATCCTGTATGACTGTGGAGAAAGGTGAGACTACAGAGCGGACATCCTGTATGACTGTGGAGAAAGGTGAGACTACAGAGCGGACATCATGTATGACTGTGGAGAAAGGTGAGACTACAGAGTGGACATCCTGTATGACTGGAGAGAAAGGTGAGACTACAGAGTGGACATCCTGTATGACTGTGGAGAAAGGTGAGACTACAGAGTGGACATCCTGTATGACTGTGGAGAAAGGTGAGACTACAGAGTGGACACCCTGTATGACTGGAGAGAAAGGTGAGACTACAGAGTGACCAGCTTATATGACTGTGGAGAAAGGTGAGACTACAGAGTGGACATCCTGTATGACTGGAGAGAAAGGTGAGACTACAGAGTGCCCAGCCTATATGACTGTGGAGAAAGGTGAGACTACAGAGTGGACATCCTGTATGACTGGAGAGAAAGGTGAGACTACAGAGTGCCCAGCCTATATGACTGTGGAGAAAGGTGAGACTACAGAGTGGCCATCCTGTATGACTGTGGAGAAAGGTGAGACAACAGGGTGGACATCCTGTATGACTGTGGAGAAAGGTGAGACTACAGAGCGGACATCCTATATGACTGTGGAGAAAGGTGAGACTACAGAGTGGACATTATGTATGACTGTCGAGAAAGGTGAGACTAAAGAGTGGACACCCTGTATGACTGGAGAGAAAGGTGAGACTACAGAGTGACCAGCCTATATGACTGTGGAGAAAGGTGAGACTACAGAGCGGACATCCTGTATGACTGGAGAGAAAGGTGAGACTACAGAGTGGACATCCTGTATGACTGTGGAGAAAGGTGAGACTACAGAGTGGACATCATGTATGACTGTGGAGAAAGGTGAGACTAGAGAGTGGACACCCTGTATGACTGTGGAGATAGGTTTAGACTACAGAGTTGACATCATGTATGACTGTCGAGATAGATAATTCATACAGATACATCACCAAGACCGAGATGCATCGGGCTTGTGGTTTGTGACGAGGGGAGGCGAGCGAAATATAATTGAGGGTTGCCACACTCAGCAATAATCCAGTTATATAACGACGGTCTGTAAATAAGTCTGGACCAGGCATTCCAGTTATTGGCATACGATGACATGCATCAACCAAGTCAGCGAGCCTGACCACCCGATCCCGTTAGTCGTCTCTTACCACAAACATAGTCGCCTTTGACGGCAAGCATGGGTTGCTGTAGATCTCTTCTACCCCGGATCTTCACGGGTCGCTTTGCTTAAGGGCATACTGCTGGTAGTGTTGTACCAGCAAAGATTTAGTTGACATATGGATGCGGGGGGATAAGGGTGTGACGGGAATAGGTGGTGGGTGGGCTACGGTTGAGCTGTAAGGATGGAATACGGATGGCTAAGGATATAGGTGTTTATGAACACGAGAGGATATGGATTTACGCAATATGTGTTTAGAATGGTTTCTGAGGGTAAAGGGTGAGTGAGTGAGTTGGGTTTAACGCCGCTTTTAGTGAGTGAGTGAGTGAGTGAGTGAGTTGGGTTTAACGCCGCTTTTAACAGTATTCCAGTTATATCACGGCGTGTCAGCTTAATATGGGAGGAAAGCCCGTAGTAATGCAGGTCTCAGACGTTTACCACTTTGGTAAAACCCACGAGCACGGATATGGTGCTGACAAACCTAGAAACATAATCGGGCGAACCCGGATTCGAACGAGCAATCGTAGGTTTGCGGCGCCTTAGACGACTGGGCCACCCGTGCCCCCTGTGACATGGTAAGGATGAGACTAGGTTATGGATGTTGGTAGGGTAGGGATGTCTATTGGGTTATACTTGATGGTGAATGTGATTACTCTGTTTACGAGGGAGGGACATTATCACCAATTTACCATCGAGGCCTTTTATTCCTGCCGATGGGGCAGGATACGCCCTCCTTTTCGCAAGCACCCGGTGTCAATGATTCCTGAACCCATGCACATAGTACAGACGGAATACCACCATGGACCTTTAGTTGAGATTCGTAATGTATAGAAGAAAACACACATCAGAGGTTCTGGTTGAAAATGTAAACACGAGGGAGAAGGGGTAGTGTCTTCTCTGACTTATAAACCATCAAAAGAGCTTAATTTAAACCACACAAAAAAAATACATTTGGCGCGTTATAAGGAGACAATGTAAATCTCTCACGTGTACGACTGTTGGCGAAAGCAGTCGCTGAAAGAGAATTTCGAAGTCGTGTCGAGGTTTTATACTAAGTGAATGCTGAGAAAAGAATGGAAATAGTTGTGTCGTTTTTTAAGCATACTGAGCAGGGCGAAGACAATATGTAAATATGATTTATCCTCTGTCAGTTTGCTAGTTCACTATATTCTATAGATATATGGCGATATATGAAGTTTCACTCTTATAAACATATGTTTCTTTAATGGTTGCAACAGCATGAACCCCGAGATTGATGTAGGACAAGCAGAGGGTGCGTTTGTGATGGGCTTGGGCTACTGGATGACCGAACAGATGATCTTTGACCCCACGACTGGCACCGCCCTGACGGCCGGAACTTGGGTACGTTAGTAACCATTGTAGATTGAAAGGTAACACAACAGCATCGTACCATGAGTGATCCCGGTAAGTGAAGTGCTTTTGATAACACAGCCACCTCAGGGCGAGTGAGTGAGATAGTAGCAATATTCCAGCAATATCACGGCGGGAACACTAAATATGGGCTTCACACAGTGATCCTGTGTTGGAAACCTTCGCGTCAACCACTCGGCTCCGAAACGTCCCACAAAGGGAGCACCCAATACCATAACACACAGTGTTCTGGTTGCAGTGTGGCTATATTACACCAATATGTTATGTAAGATTCACGTTTTGGATTGCTCGTTGAAACAACAGCTTCAACACAGGTTGAGTGGGAAGAACGGGACGAGTCGTAGACAAAGAATCATTCCACACCCATCAATCGAGAAGCTCTTTCTTCTCTTGACTGCAATGTTCGAGGATGCCATATAAACACTTACTTTTGCATACTGCAATACGTAGAGACATCATGTCATTCCAACATATCATGTTATATTATTATTTTATATTTGCACAGGAATACAAACCTCCACTGGGCAAGGATATTCCTATCGACTTTCGGATTCAGTTTCTGAAGAATGCCCCCAACCCACGTGGAGTCCTCAGATCCAAATGTGAGTGCTTTGTTGTTTGTTTGTTTGTTGTTTAACGCCGCCCTCAGCAATAGTCTCGCTATATATACAGCGGTCTGTAATTAATCAAGTCTGGACCAGGCAATCCAGTGATTAACATCCTGAGCACTGATCGACACAATTGGGATACGATGAAATGCATCAAGCAAGTCAGCTTGCCTGACCATCAAATCCTGTTAGTCGCCTCTTACGATAAGCATGGGTTACTGTAGACCCGGAGTCTTCACTGGACCAGAGCGTTGTTGTGTCTGATACAGACTAGAGCCCTAAACATTATATGTATGAGGATCAGCCGGGCTAATCAGATGTGTGACACTTCTGGCCTTTCCCTGTGGAGATTCCGGGTTAGAATTGGTCATCATCAAACCCATGCTGGACGCAAGAGGCGACCAAATCCTGACTTGTCTACTGGTAATACCCCATCACCATCATACCTTGTAGGAGAGGCTAGTCCATTACTGAAACCATATTGAATTCGCTTTACGCCTTACCCATCAGTTAGAGGTTTTCTGATCAAAGACGCGTAGTAAAGTCCTTCAACACTTTCTGTTACAGCTGTCGGAGAGCCGCCCTTATGTATGGCTGCATCAGCATTGTTTGCTCTGAAACACGCCATCGAGGCTGCCAGATGCGAAATATCAAAGGACACGTTCTTCCCCCTAGGTATGACTATTTATGTAGTCCTACTTGTATATTAACACTTATGATAAAACAGAATTGATGTAGTATAACCATTAAATTACAAAACGACCAGAAGCACAATATAGAAAGTTTATTTCGTACACTGTACAGATGTTGTATCTTATCCTGTTTTAACATACAAAAGACTTTTTCTACAAGGGAATACATGCAGCAAGTTATTACATCTGCAGAGATCAGCAATCGTAAAACCATATTACAAAATATGTATTGGCGAACACCTGGTGTCATCACCAATTTTCAGTGATCCATTCATATTATTTTTCACTGCTGTTTTGTCTTTTACGCCTTGATGGAATCTGTTAAGGCCGATACTCCAGAATGATCTCTTGCGATTATTCACATTATTCACCATGATTAATCCCAGTGGTCTGAAGGGCGGTGGGGTAGCCTAGTGGTTAAAGTGTTCGCTCTTCATGCCGAAGACCTTGGTTCGATTCCCCACATGGGTACAATGTGTGAAGCCCCTTTCTGGTGTCCCCCACCGT